CCCATGAAAATATTTTTACTCGCGACTTCCACTGCTGTCCACTTAGCCATTCTCTTACGGAAGAAGGAAACACGAAATACGTTCTTCTTACTTCCCTGGAAAGGACTCCGACTGGCCTAGTCTCTTTCCTTACCCCACCGCCCTCCGTCTTCTTTCGACAGCGACGGAATAGCAACCGTCCGCCTGGTAGGGGGGAGCCACTAGACAAAACAACGTGAAAACCGTGGCTTTTTACGAGGGCGCCCAGGACTCAATCTCACTACGATAAAATTCCTACCCGGTACAATATCGTTAATTGATTCTCATTGTACTGGGAAGGTACTATTCCCTCTATCTACATCTATATATCTACACAGCATATAAAATACCCACAATCCTATACATTCTGTTACATCGTTCAAACGTACACGCAACGTCCTACCCATACGGCGTCTATGAAAAGGCAGCTTGAGGCTTCCGCTCGTATACATATCAGACGACGAACGCCCGTCGCCCAACCACCTTACGACTGCTATCTATGTAGCGACGCGATATTATTAACATAGGCGGGTATTATAAGTCGATAGAACCCGCTTTTTTACTTTCTCATTATCTATTTGGGTTAGCCATCATACCTATGTGCATATGCACACATGTCGTTACGAATTCCTCATACACCTTCCCGCTCTCGTCCAGCCCAGCTCACACACGCACAACAGGACAGAAACGATACATTATTGATCTTGAAAACTTGGAATATGATGGTTAGAGATATACGAATCTTAAAAGTAACAGTATAGGTTTATAATTAAATTTTGTTGTCAGCCGGCTCAACGTTATCAGCGCAACGATATTTTTTAATTAAATTAATAATCCCGAGCAATGTCGCGCAATCCGATCTTTTAACGTCGCTATGATTCACGGCTTTGGGTCTTCGTGACGCGTGCCTCTCGTTTTTATTCACTTTTCCATCTGTAGTCTCTTTCCCCTCGCCCGCCTCGTATGCCCCTGTTTAAACTTTTTCTTATCCCTTTTTTTACATCCTTCTCTTTAATGCTCTCTCTCTCTCTCTCTCTCTCTCTCTCTCTCTCTCTCTCTCTCTCTCTCTCTCACCCGTTTATTTCATTTCCCGTGACGCCGTATCCTTCTCTCTTCGACAAGACGTCACTGAACACGCGCGTCCAACGATGTTAATATTTACAGCCCGAAGACGCTGTATGTTAAGCAAGCCGATTTACACACGTATATATACACGCAGGATGTTAGAAAGTGTACGAGCAAGAGAAAGAAAAGAAACGTAGCAAGATAGGAGAAGAAAGAGGAAGAGAAGATACGCAAAGGGTGGTACGCACGAAAATGGCTCCAGTTCTATTTTGAGGTTTGTCGGTGGCACTCTTTAAATTGCTGGACGACAAGTGCCAACGGTCGAAAAGGAAATAAAAATACATAAGACGGAGAAGTATTCTAACGCGTGATGACTTTAATGCTTTCGGCCGTTACGTAGAAACGAAATGTTCCACCGTGTGCACTTTCCTTCTGTCTCTTGTTACCGTGTGTCGCGCCCGTGAGAATTCAGGCTTCCCGGGTACTGGATACGTATCTCTACGTAGGTACGTGGTACCTCGAGGAAATAACGTGGCGCTTCGTTAAAGCACGTGTTAGGGGGCTCCTGACGTTATCGATAATCGAGTGTCAATTGAACGAGGCGGGATTTAACCCTCAGGACTGGAAATACACGAGACGGTGATAACTTGATACAGGATAAAAGATACAGATACAGGGATGCTGCGGTGATTAGCGATACGAAGGAAGATGGCGTCTTGTATAAATTAATTAATTAAATTTTTAACTTAAATTTTACGCAGTCGAAGACGGGGGTCTTAGCGAGGGATAAATCCTTGGGAATCGACTAATTCAACAGAGTCGGTACGTCGGTGCATTAATGGACGCTGGCGTCGATCCAGATTTTCTTCGAGCGATATGCACCGGGTGTCCGCGTACGTTTTCATTCTCTGTCCTTTTTCCTTTACACTTTTACCTAATTTCACGTATATTTATCGCGACTCTCCTGCCTCTCTCTCTCTCTCTCTTTGAACGCTCCAACTCGCAATGTCCGACGGCCAATTCGTGTCTGGCGTCCTCGTACGGATTTCGCGACGCCCGGCGTCGGATATACACAGTCGACGTCCCGAGTCGTTTCGGGACTCATTTAGCTCGGGACGATCTATCGACTAAGGACAAAGGAAATTTTAACCAATTATTAATTACATAATTGACGGTACAAAATTTATTTGAAAAAAGGAAACGCGAAAAAACGTATCTTTCATAAAAATTTAAAAAAAAAAAACTGACGTTCGGGTAAACCTTACGTCGTCGTCTGACAAGTCGCAGACCGCTCTCCACCTCTCTCTATCTTTTTCTCTCGGTCTCTGTCTCACTCCTATCGGTACAGGACAGCTGGCTTCTCTGGCAAAGCAATTGAAGCGTTCAAGGCGAAAGTGGTGGGTTGGTACGTTCGCGTAATAAAGATCTCTGAAAATATAATAAAAAAAAAAAAAAAAAAAAAAAAAAAAAAAAAAAAAAAAAAAAAAAAAAAAAAAAAAAAAAAAAAAAAAAAAAAAAAAAACAAAGTCTATAAATAAATTGAAACGGTAATGAATCACGAGTCGTGACTTAATACGCGCGTTATTATAATACAGTATATTTTTCATTCGCCAAGAAGCAACGGGGAAACCTCGATGGATTTATACACACTTTGTCTATGAGTACGCATATGGCTTCTAGCGTAAACGGGTATCGTAATGGGAAGAGAGTGGCTCTACGGGTAGATTTACCCTTTAAGCCGTATAGAAAATAATGCCGCGTCCTTATTAAAATAATTTTGGTCGATTATGGCTCCGGAAGGGTGGAGAAGAAAAAAAAAAGGTCTGACGATGGTAACGGAGGCCAAAGAGAAATTAAAGAGTCCTCGGGCATTGGAGAGTACAAGAAAAGTCACTAGACTCTTTTTACAAGATATCCCTAGACCCTACAGTCTATTCGAGCTCACTACCAACTGTTTCCCCCAAATGTGAGGCGCCTTTCTTCATATAAGCCCATACGGATATTGCACGCCTGGCAAACTGCAACGAATATCATCCTCCACGGGCGTCACATCTGTCGTGAGACGGGCAGGCGAAAACTTCGAAGACGAGTTTTCCCGAGAAAAGTTTTGCGTCGCGACGCCACCCGAGGCATCTGGTACCGTTGTACCAAAAAATTAGAAAAAAAATAAAAAAATAAAAAAAATAAAGTGAAATGCTTTTCTTAGATTCCTTTGATTTTGAAATTACGTTGTTACGATTAGTGTTATGAATTTGCCAACTGAATTTTTTTTTCCAATTAGTATGGTAAAACGTAATGTTTGTGGATGCTCCTGCAATGGCTGTCTTTAATTAAGGATACGTAGTTATATATTAGAGCGACTGTTATCACACCGTCCTGCGTCAAGCATTATTGTACGTTCAGGGTGCTGGTAAGGTATGCCGAACACATAGTTGTATCTGTATAGTAATAGTGTACGTAATATGCCCAGATGCCTACATGCCTCAAGTAAGCGTGTACATGCCTACGTGGAGACACGGGAGTAACTTGTAAGCCATGGTTCTAACACGCCATGCAAATTCGCCGTTAATGGTATAGGTAGAAAACTGTATAGTTTGGTATATACGAGTTAACCAGCGTACAAGGCACGTAGCGATATACAGGGACTTGAAACCATTAGGAAGACTTATGTACAGTGAATAATATATGTATATATAATTAGTATGTGCACGAGGGAATTCAATTGAAAAATATATATGTTTAATGCGCATCCGCGAAGGACAGTCTCGTTACGGTCAATCGTAGATGAATATATCATGAGCAGTGACTTTCACTGCTTTCTCTAATTCCTTCCCAATTTCATCTCGTCATGGAGTTCCCCATGGCTACGGGTAATCGAAGGCGAGAATAACACGTCACTATGGGAATTACTAGTCCCAGTGCGCGAAGACGGCGATACACGAGACGCAATCTTTCTGTCAGATCACGTAAATCAAAGATGCCGATAAACGAGTCAGCCGTATATATATCGTCGGGAGAGTAACTAAATTCTTGAGGAGGATCGGGGCGGCAATTTACGATGGGACTTATTTTTAAGTTCACTTTTTTTCTTTCTTTTTACCCTTTCCTCTTGCGGCTTTAACGCCCTGGAAATGAAGATACGGCGAACGGAAATGCTGAGGTGACAATCGTCAAGATGACGTTTACGGTTTGTTCGGAAGTGAGAGAGTCTATTTGATACACACTGACCCATTACCTACGGTGATTTTACTGTACCCAATGAGTTGCACACCCTCTAATTTTGTTCCTGTATAAAATCAACAAGAAAATGGACGTCGTACGAATCGCAAACTCTTCCGAGGCAACAACTGGAGCTTCATGGTATATCGTTTTTTTTTTTACCAGACTGCTATACAAGCTACTATATGCTACTATATTATTATACCTGAAGGGATGGAATTTTTTTGTATCCAGGTAAAATCATTAAGGAAATGAGCGCCATCGGAACGGTGGTGGCTCTTACGCCAACTATCATACTAAGTTGCTACAGAGAAATTTCTCTTAAGCACGCTTCAGCATCCACTGTACACATATTCCTATACGCGAAGTAGAGAAATGGCGCTTGCATTCTGTTGGTATTAAGAGCACCCAAGTGTCTCGGTAAGTAGTAAGAGGGCGAAAGGGGACGAAGAATGTGAAAGGGAAGTGGAAGAACGTCGTCAAAGCGAAGGGCCGTCGTCAAGTAGTTTTCGGCCCATAAAACCCAGACGCCTAAATGCCATATCCAACCCCTATAGTATACATATATATAAGAGCCTGTGAACGCTTAGAGAAATCCCAATAGGAAATACGGCGAATCCGGTATGCGGTAGCTACCCAGTAGATACCTGAGAGCATGCACCGACATCTTATCAAGTATCCATATCAATTCTACTCACACATATGTTCCCCTAGACGCCAGACTTCCGGCAGCGAGTTCACCTCCACGAGGAGCGTAGGCGCGCAGACAAGCAGAACGCAGAGATCAGCCACGCTGAGATTCACCAGGAATATATTCGTGCTGTTCCTCATGTCCTTGCCTCTCAGTACAACAAGTGGTACCTGTACAAACAAACAAAAATGTCAAAATCAGACATAGCTCAGATAACACAACCAGCCAGCTCAAAGACACCAGTAACAATTTAGCGGTTGTCATTCAGTCACTCTATTCAAAAAGCAAGCAGTAACTCCGACGTATCCATTAGGAAGCTAAGTCAGTAATTGATCGATAAAAAAAAAAGAAGAGGACCGGATGCTCAAATTTTTCGACTTTCCTATACCGGCCGCGAGTGCGAGAGAGACAGATCCATTGACGATAAAGTGCGCTAGACAAGGACAGACGTAACGCCGAGCCAAATCGGGTGACCGATAATAACCGTCCTCTGTAGGATTGGCTCCTCTGTCACGGATCTCATGACAGCTGTCAAATCTAATTGACACGTGCCAACTGTGTATCCCCGATACGCCGTCTAATTCTTACTTTGTATTTCTAAGCCAAATATATACTTTCTTAAAATATCTGCCCACCACGTGCCTCTTTTTCAGAAGCCATTTCCCTTATCGGCACGTGCCATGTGACCTGTCAACTTACCATAAGATTTCCAACCACTCCCAGGACCATGACGACTATACAGGCCACCATGGATGTTATACGGATATAGGCAGGCAGCATGTAGGACGCTGATGTTGAGTTGGCCGAATCTGTCGTTGAGACTAGAAGTTAAAAAACAAATATTGTATTTGAGGATTCCTATTGTTACGGGGTGTATTACTTATTATTGTTCCTTCATTCAGTTACCTGAGAAATCGTCGGCGGAACTCGAGCCTGCTACCGTCGTGTAATAGGACGAGTTTAGTTCCAGAGCGACCGCTGACATTGTTGACAACATTTATATTGATTAAAGTTCAATTATCTTCACTCTGTATTACTGATTTAGGGCATAAAACATGTTAAGGATTAATTTCTAATTAGTGCACCTCATGAGGATCAAAGTGATCGCTCATGCATATAATATTGCTTGCACCTATATGCTCCTCACACACTGTGGATATTGATTTGATAGGATGATTTTGAAACACTTGATTAATTTGACTGTCGCACTGTCATTAACACACATTTCGCAGTCACGTTGTCGATTGTTTTAATAATTAGAGTTTCAATTGTATCGTGCATAAATTAAGTTGTGCGCGTCACTGAGTTCTCGAAACGCCAATCCGCACTGACGACTATTGACGCACTAGTGTTCGGCTCTTGTAATTCTGCACGAGAGTATCGCCGGAATTCTTCAATTAATAAGACATTCCTGTATCCATTAAACGAATTAATCGATCGATCTTGATCGAGCGTAATTTATAGCGAGGAGAATCTTTGGGCTCCTGACAAGTGCTAATTAAATTGATGAAATGTTTGAACTTTGTTAAGAGACCGATCGACGGCACGTTATGGAATGCTTTAAATTCGCAACACTTCTCTCTCATCTTTGACACCTTCGATTAACATCGATTAACCCTTAGCTCTAATTCTCTTTAGCACGTTCGCTTACATCTAGGAGCATTGATATTAATTTAAGTTGGATATCCAGGTCAATCGGTTGGACGACGTTATCGGTTGTCATTGACTATCTTAAGTAACTGGTCTATTCGTTGTGACAATTGGCAATGGATGACAGTTTGCAAATTTTATAAGTGACACAACGATTGACAGGGCTTTAAGTTTTTCTTTCTCGATTCTCTGGACAGTTCCTATAACAATTCCGAACGATTCCGTACTGCGTGTATAACGTATGTATACGTGGAAACATACTGGCCCTAAAATAAATAATGGCCGATGGAGCTCGAGTCGCATAAATCCTCGCGATTACTTAGAGAAACTTTTCTGCTTGGCGTCGACTGGACTTGATACGCATTTGAGAAACAAGGTATATGCTAGAAAATAGATATGTACGTACAGTCGCAAAATATGTAGGACGGGCTGTTTTAGCGATATTGACAAGTTCTATGGCGAATCTGTACTAGAGAAAACGTTAAATTCCAATAGAGAGTTACCTCGCGACTTTCACATCCTAGTGACAGCCTTTACAATTCGATACGTTTAATTTTGCTTATTTCTTTTCTTATTTCTGCAAACATATTTTCAGGAATTCTTCGGCCTTTGCGTTGTTTAAGAATTAGTGGGTTCTCGAAGGTCGACCGAATAATGGACGTTAAAAGTGATAATAATTTTCGACACGAGCTCGCAGGCGGAATAATAATTGTCAAAATTGCCGGTAACCGATGCTGTTATTATATAAGAATAAAACAAATGTCATATATAGTAAAATATCCACTCGCAAACCGATAAAGTCTATAGTTTACAAGAAGTCTTTATACATAGCACCTAGATACACGGTTATTCAGAACTATTGCACCACTTGAAGATAGTTCTGTTCATTTGATTTCCATCAGCTCCCACGATAGAACCATCTTCAGGTGATACGACAGTCCTGAATAACCGTATATACATGTCGACTGAGTTGCTGGTACCAAAACCGAAATATGAGAAGCAGAAATTAATAAACACAAAGATATTCATACTCGACTGACAAACGTATGGGATTAATGATTATGTGAAATTGTTACTCCCACATAAATATACATTAAACATTATTTATCTTTGATTCGTTCCATTTCGATTATTCCCCAAAAAAATATCACGATGAAGCTCGTTATGATTTTGTTAAGTTTTTCAAAATCCCTCTAGACAACTGTTATCCTTCCCCTTTCTGTCTTAATTTTATAATTATCCCCTGTTAAAGGCGGACTTGCAACCGCGACGCGCGAATCGTGACGCTAGACTGATCGTCGGTTTCGTCGGCGCGCCAGACCGACTCAAACCAGTTGAGTATTCAGGATATCAGTCGATTGCGCTTGCGCGAACAATACCGCGGGACGCCTTCCGTTCGTCAGACACGTTGACTCTTCGTCACGTTGTTCTCTCGTTCCTGTTCACCTAGCAGTACGTCCTCTTGGTCTTCGGGATGCTTGGTAGCATAAAGTAGAGGCTGGCGATGACGTGCGTGTGAATGTACACCATGGATTATCTAAGAAGAATAAGAAGAAGATTATACGTTACCAGCAGTGCCAGCGAAGACAGAATTGCTGTTAGCAAGTCACGTTGCTGATATACTGACTGATTTACTGACAAGCCAAATCATTTCTCTCCTGTCATCCGCAAGTGTCTCCTCTATAGCCAATGATGTTGTAGAAAGTCACCTGAGATCCGTGCAGTCCGACATTTTCTTCTTCTACGCAGATACCAGCCTGTTTCTCTGTTTCTCAATCTCACGTGGAATTCTTGAAATTGCATACGTGCAAGAACACTGCACCGTCTTCGGATGTATTTACGGATGACGTCAGCATTGATGGCTCTGTGCATCTGAAATATTCATACATATTTCTACATATTCTTTCGAGGGATTTTCTTGCTTTCGATTTGCAATGCTTTCAGAACTGCGGAGGATGCTGGGAGATACCGGAGAGTACTCGAATTGCCACTTCACGTGGAGAATCACAGTGGAGCTTAGGAATCGTGGAAAATGTGCGAATGAATTTAAACCCATTGAAACAGTATCGAGTTTACCCGTTGGGAATAAATTAATTACGGTGTAAAGGATCGACAGGACTCGTGGGTTAAACAATTTGTAGACGCTTATGAAATTTTAAAGATTTTCTATAACGGCGGAATGTAACTCTGAGAAATGTTTGACGTCGTATTCGTCGGCGGATCAAAGCAACGCCTTCAGTTAAACTCAACAACGATTTATCTATATAATTGCAATTTATATCTCGTGGGCGTCGCGTCGCTATTTTTTTTTTTTTTTCAGGAAGTTGCGGTCCTTCTGTTCAACCAAAGATGTATACTCATACATTTATATATAAGAGAAACATAGTAATATGTCTAAACTCACATCAATTTTCATGAAATTTTTTCGCAGCCTCAAATCAATTATTATCATGATTGCGTGGAAGGGACGTAGGTCAGCAGGAAATGACGCACCATTGACGTCGTACGTGTGTTAGAAAATAGCGACAGTCGTCACGCCAATTTTGACAGTCTCTGTCGTATGTGAACCAGGACTCCTGTATATTAATTTCGTCCGAATGCATCGTGGCTGAGGAAAAAAAAAGTTCAAAGTAACTATAAGCGCACTCTAGGATTACAATTTAGAACTGAATGTTTGTACCAACAAGTTGAACTTCTCTTGGAACTAGTGACTTACATTTTCCGCAAAGAGAAATAGCAAAATAACGAAATAAGATAATACAAGTCCTTCCATTAAAGTTAGCCAGTCGTGCAGGAACACAGTCAGCCAGTCAGCCGACGAGATTACTTTAGTTCAAGGAGATATCCGGCGCCGGGTTCTGCCAATTCCGCAATATAATCTGCTAGTGCACCCTGCACGAGGATGCATAACACGGAATCGTCTAGAAAGTAAGAAAGGAGTATGCATGAGGACAGTACCATAGAAAAGGAACAATCAAGAGTGAACTTATGCATGAAAAGTCGACGTAGTAAACAAAACAAAAAGTTTTCCCGAGCTAAATTTCAACATAAGCATATCTGATGGAGCTTTTAGGTATGTGCTCATCAGCGTCGAGACGCCTTCTGTATTATATTTATCCAGTTGTATATCACGCGAGAGAGCTAGCTAAAAGATAAAGAGAGATATAGTCTCTTGAGTTATGTGCTTTTTACATACGGCCATAGTGACTTGAAGATTTATCGAACTGCTGTCGCTTCTTTCACTCTCTCAGGTTGCCGTATCCCGTCATCCAGCCTAACCTCATTAAAAGTATGCATATTACTCCAGACAATTCACATAAACTTTTGAACCCCTAAAACCCCTCTGGAGTGCCTGAATGTTTCTCCATCCCCTTGTAAATTTCTGACGACAATGCGGAGTGTAGAACAAACTATTAAGCGTTCGAGACTACGAGGCGTCGGTGAAACCTGACGTTACGGAGAACGACGGTGGCGCCACTGTTGTCCAGGTGTCAAGACGCCGCAACTACGTTTGAAAAGGTAAAGTCGCAACTGGTATTAAACCCCAACGTTAATTGGGTGGGTTTTAGTTGAAATTTGCGGTAGAACATTCTCCCGTGTGTCTGAAACAAAGGCGAAAACAACCAAATTGGCAGTATGTGGCGACGCTTAATTCGAAATGGGGATTTAGCGACGCTTTCGGAAAATGTATTTATTTCGTTCTGGCGTCACGTCGGCTACGAAATCGCGTGTGAAATTGCTCTACGTTATTAGGCATTTTCAATACGTTCTTCCGTGTAAATATATATGCGACACAAGGAAAAGAGGGTCGACCGAATGAAAAGTAAAATTGACATGGAAAAGGGAGACGACGCATAAATTTTGAACTATCGCGTAGATACAAGCGGCAAGAATTGTTCATGGACGCCGATGCTGATTTCGATTTGTCGTCAGGGCGTCGTCGTCCCTCGATATTTATAAGCTTGACAAAACCGCGCTATTTTCACTCTGTCTTTTATTAGACCGATTTTGATAATTCTTGTGAATCAGCCCGTAGTCCAAGCGTTGTCAACGTCGACGAAAACTATCAGTGCGTCGTCACCTTGACGGAGAAGGTGTACGTGGACGTTCACGTAGGCTGAAACGTATATATCCAGGGTATGTATAAGATACGCGAAAGACAGGAGGTCGGAAAAGTAAAAGGCGCATTCACATCTCGTCGCTAATTTTCATTGTCATTCTTTTCACTTGATACTTACCAATTTCTTACATTAACCTCAAATCATTCTTGTCTTACCTGCTCTCTTTTCTTTTTACGTAATTCTTTCGAAGGAGACACAAGAACAAGAAAATGAGGTAAAGACGCGAAAGAACACAAAATTAAGCCACGCCCAGGTTCATCATCGCACCCCGCATGAACTTATCAAATATTTACCGTAATACACCGTGACGCGTAACTAAATGCCCTGCTTGATGAGATTAGATATTGGCGGAAAGTGAAAAGTTTAATGAAGATATGTGATATTTACACGTGTTTATATACATATATACTGGCTATTCATATGTGCTTATACGATAAAAGGGAAGCACGAAAAAGAAGCGAACGAAAACGAGGCCTCGCTAATCCATTCACGGTCGAATAATCCTTGCGGAATGAAGTCCGTCAAGAAGGTTTACCGATTTACCGATTTACTCCAAAATTCATGAGAATCTGCCAGAAAGAAGGATTAACATTGAAAAGTCGTTAAATAACGAAAATTTGAAAGACAGACGTGCCGATAGGTAACTTCTAAGAATTAATTGTACAATTTATATTTTTAGCTTATATATCATTGACAAACAAAAAAAAAGAAGCAACTTTATCAATAGTACTAAACAAATTTTATCTTAGTCGAAGACATCTCGAACTCATAATTTTCGCTATATTCTGATTTGCGACAGGAAACAAAGTTTTCCTCGTAAACGCCAAATAAGGAATTTATATCTTCAGCCAGTACGAATAAGGTAATTGACTCTGGGTAAAAGTTTCCTCCTGTTCGTAAAAATCAGTCGGGATTCGACCAGGAATCTGGATCCAGTTTCCCCTATCTGTCTTTTTCCTGATATCTTTGAGGTCATAGTTCGCGTTAAAGAAATTGCAAAATCCTCGTTTAAATTTACATTTAAAAAAAAATGATAAAAATCCCGAAATACCATTTACGAGCAAATGATCGTTCTCCGATATCAGCAGCGTCATTCCCTCAGCACCAGGAATTTCATCTGACGTCACTTCCCGTTCCTACTCTGCCTAAGATCCCTTCGTCCCCGTCCGTTATATCCTAGAATTTTTCTGACCTCCTTAATAATCTCGACATGCGTATCGTTATCGTTTTTACGCGATCTTCCAAGAAATCCCGGAGACTACTTGGTATTTCACGATATAACAAAGAAAAAGGAAAAATATGAACAAGTCAAAATCGACCTGCTGACAACTGCTCGGTAGCTTCCTGGAAATTGTTCTTCGTTGCTTTTAAGAGAAGAGTCACTGTTGCTGTTGGTCACACGCCAGTTTGAGTAATAACGTCGTGACGGCCCTGTGACGAATAATGCAGAGCGAATGGGAAGTTTCCAGGAGTCTAAAAATCAGAGAACAATAAACCATACGAGTGAGCTTAAATAATTTAATAATTCCATAAATACCGTCCAGCTACCCTGAACGCATTAAATGAAACAAAAAAATTTTTCAATATAAAATTATTCGATTCAAAGAACACACTCATTTCCAAGATTAATGCCATTTCCTTATTTTTTTTTTCAGAATCTTTATTTTTTCCCTCCTCTCGATAACTATCACCCGGCTGAGTATTCTACGATAGGCCTGATACACCAGAGACCATTAATCAACTATAAAGCAAGGAGTCCAGATAAAAGTTCTGATTGTATAAAAATAAATCTAGCAACGATAATAAACATGGCCTCCCTCTCTCTCCGTCCAGAGCGTTGACATACAGATATACAAGTAGAATATTTTGGCAAAAGCTATGCCATTAAAATTCATCGTAATATAATATTCCTATCTCACCCGTTATATCGCAGAGCAGCAGTGCGTCCCGGCGTGAAATCGATTATGAATTATGCGAGGTGGCGAATGTGTAAAACGTCAAGATTAAACTCTGGTCTCGTGCTTGAAGTTTGCTTGGCTTAGAAAGGCGCTGGCCAAGTCCGATGCCTCCCTTTTGGATCCCAGCCAAACCTGATGCCTGTAGAGCATACATGTCATAGATGTCCACATATGTAACCATACAGGCAGAGGAAACCATAGGGTTTTAGAATAGCGTAACCAGCTCTTGTCATGTGAAATAAACTACACGTAAAATCGTTATGGTTGGACGAATAACTATAACCGTCTAATTCGTATGTATTCGTGTCTCTTGTTAGCGAGGAGCATTAATCAAGTTTTGGCATAATACCAGACAACATTAAAGAGGTCGTTCCTATGAATACGTATCTATAATGCATCTTGTTTGTCATTTTTAGAAAATATTTATGAGAACCGATCTTAATTACATGACAGAATTAATGTTTCTTTTCGACTTGTTCTTCATAACCTATAAACGCCTTTTTGACGTACGACCAAAAGTCTTTGAACAGAGTACGTTACTTATGACTGTCTTTATCTCGTAAACGGGGGATGACTCAAATGAAGTTAAGTAAATAAAAAATTAATGTAAATCCTACCGGATATTCTTCCCTTGCCTCGTCCTGCTTCTATTCCCTTGGTTTACTTAATACCTCGAGATGTTCATCGTGGTCAGGTACTACGTCTTATTTTTATGTATTCATGCAAATTCTATAACCACCCCTCGTGTATCTCTAGGGACGTTTTACGAGTGGGGTTTTTCACTTTTTCATTCCTTTTCGATGCGTCGTATTGGATTCGCGAAGGATTACGAAGGCTAGGTGGATCTTTGACTTCTGCGCATGCGCCGTTCTCGTTTAAAAATTGACGTATGTGAAACGGCCGTTGAATGGACTTTGCTGGTTCAATAACTAATGCGTTATAAATATTTTTACTAAATGTGTTTGACTGGACGTTAAAGTACCGAATGTCGATTCTAAATATATCCTTGTTAATTGTGCCAAAGCAATATTATTCTAGGATAGTCGCGTTCCCTGGCAGTTGTTCGTTTACCGAGCGCGATTTGAAACTGGAATTTTTCTTTGAGGTCTACATGAAGAATGGATACAGCAGCTTAAGGGGCGAATTACGTGGTGGGTCGGAGGGATACGCACGCTCGATGAGTCCATTTTTTTATTTGGCAACTTCTATTGGAACGCCGGTGCGAGCCGTGCAAAAATACCGGGCGAAACAAAATGTGGAAAACGGTCGACGTCGTAAATCACATGAAATTTATTCCCAGCAGTTCCCGGACCGCGTGTCTCTTTATCTCTTTGCTTTTTCTCGTCGCCTCGTCTCTTCATTGATTTACCACTGATAGCCAACGCGTCGGCTCCCGTTAAATGTTCTACGGACATTCCACGCTCGAACATAATGCTGACAATTTCTTCTACGCGTTGTTAACAAAACTGTCATGTCCTGTCAAAGTATCTGTCCCTTAAGGAAAATTTTGAATGGAACGACCTGTTAGTATCTTTTGAAAATCAATATATTTAATTACTAAATTTGTAATACATATCTAATTACTTCTATTACCCCATTCAATCACATTATAATAATAATATTTAATAATAACGCTCGCCTTATCTCTACACTGCACCAAAGTTTCAACTGCTGCAAACACATGAGTTTATCAGAACGTAGATCCTTGTTCTAATTTCAAGTGATAGTTGAGAGTAATTCGACTTATTATTGGAAAGATATTATCATCATTAACGGATTATCGTACGGCCGTTCACGTCTACTTAGACGTGGATGATGATTGGGTATTGATTTTGTAAGAATTCCACGTACTGGCTGAATTTACTGACCAAGTAGAAAGGATGCAGCAGTAATTTGTGTCGTTGGCAGTTGCGTGGGTGCAGTGGAAGAAAATAAGTTCTTCTTCTAAGATACAGAAGCTTGGAATTTTTTAAATAGATTATGGAAATATTACGTGTTTTACCCGAAGAGACGATTATGGAAGGTTAATTAAAAAAATATATGAAATAATTAAAAAAGTAAATTTTTTAATAGTGAAAATAATTTAGGCAATGTATACTTCGCGTTTAACGTTCGTCTAAACACAGTTAATATATCGCTTAATCAATTTGACTAATTACGCAGAAATTAGGGAAACCGAGTTAAGCGGGGGCGAGAGTCGGTATTGTCGGCCTGGGAAGAGGTTGTTTAATATTCTGTGTACCGTGTGCACGCTTCCTGGTTAACAGCACCGGAAAAAGCTGGATCGTCGTAAACTAGCTTTTCCACTTATTTTTCCAAGGCTCAAAGTCATCACGCGTTTATTTTTAAATTTCGCGCCAACCGCCAGGACACTCATTATTCTGTATCTTTAAATTTCCTGTCTCTCCGTTGGCAGAATGACGTTTCTTTCGTCTGCTCCGCTTCATTTTACGAAAATGGCTGCCAGAGCAGTTTCATAAAATTGTTGAATCCGGCAACAGCAAAAGAAATTATATCGCATTAACAGTTGTTTCTCTTGGCTGGTGTACCTCGCAATTTCCTTCAGTTATTAACTATCGCGAATACCGATATCCGTTCAAGGCTTGGTGGTTAGTTAAGAACTCGTGTCAAAAATGTACAACTGACAGTGACTCTTAACGCAAAGATGGTGAATACATACGTCGTTCGAGGATTCCATCGTCCCATAACTCAAGCTCGTACGGAAAATTCAGCTAGTACTTTTCGGAATTTACATTAACCGGGAAGATTCTCTTTACGTTTCACGATCTCCTGACTGTCGGTTCGTCGCAGCTAATTAAACCTAATTAATAAACGAACCAGACACAAGGAATTCCGTAACTGCCCGTCGGGGAGACATAAATTAGAATCGTTAAGACTTTCTGTCTGACGAATGCCAACCCAATTAATTCTTTCCAATAAAAATATACGGACAAATTTTGCTTCATTGACGCACAAACGAATCGTCCAAAAATTATCAAAGTATTCGTTCAATCGTTTTCAAGTGACATTTTACCTAAATATCAGTGACAGTGTTTATATGAAAATTGCGTTGAATTCCGTGTTAAATATCCTTCTAACTATTGTTAACACTAACCTCGTATCCTGTGACGTTCCGATAAGTAAGCACACACTTATCTGGATTGGCACGAGTGAGCTTCTGTGTCTCCTGGTATACAACTATTGGAGAGCAAACACAAAAGGGACACAAAACCAGTATGGTTGGACGATGTTGTCAGCGGGTGGACCTTTTAGAGCTGGCACCACTCTATTCGCCATAATGCGTGTCTATATGGCCGGGAAGGTCAACATCGAGCAAGAATAGAGATTTGGCCGCCGTAACAAGAAAAGAAGCAAGGAAAAAGGTAAACAAAATTTAGAATAATAATTCACTCATCCCAATTACGATATAAATAATTGCGCCTGACTCTAGAAAAAAAATTTCATTCATCAGATTGTAACTGCTTTCTTAAACTTTGTACGTTACAAACAATTATTTCAGTATAAACTTTTAGGATTACAATAAATAACGTTATCTTATTGATATCGGATTAAAATGGCGCCGTGAAGTCTTCCTTTCCAATTGACTGAAAATAATAACTTTCTTATGGTTCTTTACCTACATGCGATAAATTATCGATTTCTTTTTATGACTTATATAAACTGATTCGTTTCCCACAGGGCGTAATGTTTTATTTGATAAGAGAGATAGAGGAATTACCTTATATATTTTTATGTATCTTCGTTAAAAGTCTCACTAATTTCTATTGACATTATTAGGCTTCGTTCGCTCGAACGATTTGTCGCTTTTAGCGCGCTCTGTGGGAGGAAACCAGGTACTAACTGGACAATTCGCAAGGCCGCTAACAGTAGGCGCGTTAGAATAAGAAAGTCCATATTTCTTTTTTTAGCAATAATTATAGCAAATGTCACTTGATATAGTATGGTATATTAAAGTAATTACATAACGTAAAAACAGGTGTGTTTAAAAAAAAAAGAATCATAATTTCATTAGATTGTCTAATAAGTACTCTCGAGATAACTGCGCACACTAAGTACACTACGTTATCATTGATAGCTAGCTATGTATACATAATTAAATAATTACTGGACTTTGCGTAGGATAGCCTGTATACGAGTTCAAACGACTGACGCTAATGATGCATACAGGTATAGTAGACAGTGCTTTACAGTAATGGCGAAAGGTGACTCTAGAATCATATAACCGATTTAAAGTACGTAAAGTAGTTCAACTTTAATGACAGTGTAGTTGTTTATAATCACGGAGTAATAAGTCGTGTAATTTCTCATTGTGCAACTAGATTCAAATCTGCTTCACGAGCTTCTAACACATACCTATATTCTAATCACCTTAAATGCCCTAAGACCCGTAAAGGGTAGGTTCTCAAAACAGGAAGAAAAATAGTCTAGCTATTTTTCTTAATTCCCGTACAAAGAAGCACTCTTAATATAATACGTAATTATAATGAAATAACTTTTACAAAAATTTGTAACAATATTTATTTCTTAAAAGTCAATAATTCCTTATTCTAATCCAATAAGGTTAATGTTGGTTAATGTTATTAAAATATATTTTGAGAACAACTGTCCAGTCGCGGCGACCTCCATTAAAACCCTAGAAATACATTATGCACGTGACAGAGGCTTCCTTATAAAGAGACGATTTTCAATACCAAGGTCCACAGTGTCAAGAGAAGCTTCCAAGAGCTTTCTTCTTTATTAAAAGTATCCCTAAAAAATCTTAGACACCCTTGACAAATATTTTGATTACGTCATCAAAATATTTAACAGTTCGACAATGAGTGTATCGCACTGACACTGACAATGACGTAATAACAAAACGGTGTAACAGTATTATAATTATCATTGTACCGTTGAGTGTTAAATTTAAAAAATTCTTTTATTGAAACAAAAAATATGGCTAAGTTCTACGTCCGTTTCGTTATTTTTGTTATTTTAGCCGCTTGCACTTGCGGTGGTAAAACCGAGTGCAATTCACGTGCTCAGATATCTCTTCTAACGGGTGTTCATAACGATGCGTCTTGCCATAAAGTCTCTACCAAAGGAGTTCTTCTTTACGAGGCAGCAAAATTCCTGACAGACGCGCACAATAACCGGACCAACGGATTTAAATTAGGTAAGAACTCATCACAGAGGTAATCATCGTTCTTTATCCTTGTACTGATGAATTCATTTTTGTTTTTTTAGAAATGGCCGTTCTAGACACTTGTGGCAGCATAGCAGGTGCTCTTAAGGCAGCGATGAAAGCATTGGTTTGGGCGGACATTAATTGCTTACAGCCGCCTCATTACTTGGGTTAGTACCAAACGGAAGGTGACTTAAACAAGATTTCCTGCCTGTACGAGGCGACCTTTCATAAAAATCAGGAAGCGGCAGTGTGACAATCTATTAATGATTTCACGGCGAAAGGTTTTTTGACCCTGACCGAGATCATTTTTTTTCACCCTATGAGTGTTACCGGTTTCTGCAAATTAATCAGTCTACACCTTAATTTATTTATCATCAAATCAATTTAAATTTAAAGATCATTATACTTCAGGTATCATCGGTCCGGATACTGCGACCAATGCCGAGGCTGTACAGAAAGTTACTTCAGTCTTAAAGATCCCACATATTGTAAGGAAGGGATCGAATTCCCCATATTTACATTACCTTGCCAAGGAATCAGACAATTACATAGTACAGGTAAAATCAATAACTATTAATCATTAGATTAGTTAAATTTCAAGATTACAATAAACTTATTTATCCGTACTGTTCCCTTGCGTCATTAGGCTACTCTCCAAGTCATAAATGCTCTCAAATGGAAATCATTCACACTGGTAGCTAATGTTGATAAGGAGAATGATGATGACATACAAAATATTGCCAAGAAGTTAACTGTGGGCGCCATTGCCAAAGGACTCTGTGTCTTGGTGCAAGATAACGATGAAGGTCAGTAGCCTTATAAATTCACTTAATAATTCTTCATTCCTTTTATTAATAATTTTACAGATCTCACGTCTCAGGTCATTCATATTGGCAAGCCTGATATTAATTTCTTCAGCAGTCCCATTAATGCCACTGTCTTGGTGGTCAGCGAAGGGAATCTAGAAGCTCATTTAAATCATGTTAATTCCACCAACACTATACTTCTTTTGGAGGATGACAGGTAAAATTAATTGATTAATAACTGATTTGAATAACTAATAAAAATTTTAATGACAGCAGTAAGTGTTTAAGTGGTTCAGGACGGCTCTGTTGTTCGTGACGTGACAGTGAAATCATAGTAATGGCGTTAAAAAATTTGTTCAACGTTCACTGTTGCGTGTTCATCCATGAAGGTCGTGTTAGTGAACGATCCTTTGAACAAGAAATTGGTTACCAAACGTGAAACCATTGTCCTTTCATTGACATGAATTCTGGAAGTTGAACTAACGATCGTTATTATCTACAGCCATATAGAATGGGCAGTGAAATATTTAAAAAATATATTTTGAATTTATTGAAATTCAAAATTGCATAATTACTGATATGGAAACAAGATCACTTCCACTGAACTATTGTTACCTTATTACATTTGTCAAGAGTTTCCAGTATCCAGTATTTGGGGAATACCATCTTTTTTTTATATTTTGGGTAAACAATGTCACGCGTCGCTTTACTGTTCATCGCTTCTGTCTTTTTCATCCCACATTATATATTTTTTTTTCTTCCTCACCGCGTGGAGCAACTGGCTTTCCCCAACGTCGAGGACACGTCTCAAGGTTTCGTCGGAAATCGAATTGCTCAGGAAACCTTATAGTGTTTTACGATATTAGAGTGTTGAGATCCATTTTCTCTCCTCAGGAGAGACCTAGAGGGTTTGGAGGTTAAGGTCGAGCAGTCAAGATGGTGGGCTGCCGAAAACGGGGCTGGGAAATTTGATCCGGAGGAATTGAGAGACGTCAGGTGGCTGGAGGACGCCATTGAGGTGTATGCAAAGGCGCTGGATACAACATGGTAAGATAATAATTGAGTGTAACATTGATTGTCGTAATTACGTAAGTGATTAGCGTGGAAGTAAGTAATAGTAATAATAGGTACATGTACAGCTGACGTAGAGACACATAACCCGTCTGAGTTATTGGTTAAACGTTATTGAGATCCAAGGAAGCGTAGAAAAAAATGCATGGGCGAAGATTTTGCTGAAAAAAAAAATTAATAATGCTTCCTTTCGCCGCTAGATGTCCAAGGGCACTTGGCTAACTCGCTAGTGATATAATACAACATGCATTCGTTTAGCTGCGATCACGTGTACTCATTACCGGGGAAAGCGAAACCTTCGGAATTAATTACAAGTATCGTTTCCTCGTTGCTGCTAATTTTATTAGCAGAACTTGCTAAACCCATTAGCAACACCTGATCTCTTTTGCCGATTTCGCAGCAAGAAGAAGAAGTGCAAGTATCAGGTAAATTTGCCGGACTGGAACAGCGCCCTGACCAAGGCGTTGTCTGCGCAGAACGCGGAATCCCAAAAGGCAACCAGAACGTTGTCGTTATCCATAAAAAGCCGAGATAGCGTCCTGGAGAACATTGGTAAATTAGTTGTTAAAAAAGACGTTGCTAAGATTATATGGAAAACCGAGAAAGATGACGATGACGACGATAACGACGATGATGATCAAGATGACGATGCTGCACCTGGTAAAAAATCCAAGGACGACAAAATTGATGATGACCATGATGCTCTACCGGAAGTCGTGAAGAAAATTATTATTAATAACAAAGATTCGAAGACTGGGTGTGCCACTACGCCTAAGGAAGTAAAGATTCTTCGTGAGGAAGACGAAGATGATGCCAGGGTTGTGGTCTCTGAAATGGATGATTCAGAATGGTGGACAATGGTCAGTATTATATTTCTACTATGATCGTTTTATATCATCGATCAATAAAAATATTAAAATATCACAAAATTCTAGGTTGGAACCGTCAGTGGAGTCGGAGTCGCCATGTTCGTTGTTGGTATTCTCGCTGTCTACGTAGTCTACTCGAATATACGTGGCCCCGTAAGCCCGAAGAATAAGTCTGGGAAAGGCCGTAACGACAGAGACACGAGTCTGCGGAGAGTAGGAAGCGACCGGGAAATGCCGAGCAGCAACACCGGAAGAAATCAAAGGCAGCAGCAATTTGCGCAGAGAAGAGATAGCAATAGAAGTATCAGTAGCAACGTGTCTGACAAGAGTGTCTGACTCGTTAAGAATTTTTTAAATGTATATATTCAATGCATTGCAGCTAACAGTTAATTAGGTAATCTAAACTGATTAACGTATATTTCTAGCTCAGTCGGGATAAGAAAATTCAAAGTTATTTATTGCCAACGACATATGAATTCATTAATTTCTGTATTTATTAAATGTGTAATGATATAATAAATATGCCGTACGTAACGACTTCAATATGCTATTGCAAATTGTTCAACTACCTTAACTACGCTTGTTTATGGTAGTAAAGTGGATTCGATTGGTTTAACTGTTAGATACTAATTACGTTCGAGAATGTGTTATAATAAATGTTCTATGAGGTAATTAATTAGCATAAAATAATTGGGAGAGCACGTAATCGTTAAGAGCTCGTGGAAACCCGCAAACCGATGCACCAAAGTGAAATATCCGGCAACCGGAAGTGGCGGCCAAGAGCGAATAGAGTTATCGCGGATGCGACGGATTAAGATAGTAATGGGGTTATGCTTAACGGCATATACATATAGATGCTGTCTATTGTTCCTGCCACTTGACCTAATAAAAGGGACAAAGCAGTATTGCGCAAGAAGCAAAATATTCGCTTCTGCGCACCTGCCATTACCATAATAAGATTCGATTGATCAGCTGCAGTTTCACAAATTCCAGATTACATGATAAATAGGAAATGGTAGATTATTAATAATGGTGGACGAGATTTGTTATTATTTTTAACAAGCTCCCAGGAAATCGTGGATTGATGTATTGTTCGGATTATCTGACTTTTTTTTCATCAAGAACAAAGTAAATCAAGGATCCACGAATAGCCTCAGGTGCTACCGGTCGACTTACTTTCCATCCTGACTATGAAGATATATCCGGTTAAATTCTAGAACTTTTGCCCTGACCTTCAAGGTCAGTTTCCAATAAATTTTTCATAGCCGAAAAGATCGTTGATCTCGTTTCATCGATCATCAATTTGTAGTTATTAATATTCTGATTGGTCAGACAGTCTCTAAAATCACTTGAGATTGATCACACTGATCAATTAGGTCTGGCGATCTTGCGGAATGATCAAGTTCATTGGCAATAAAAAGTTCGTAGGTGAATTGGATCCTTAGGGGATTCCCTGAGAGATTAATGGCCAGATAAATAGAAATAAATATCTAGATAACTGTAAGATCGACCTCGAGTTCTCGATATACGGGAAGAGAAAATCGAATGAGCCAGCCTCGAGCATTCGTGACTCTACTAATTGCGTAAACACTAATTCCTTACTGAATAGCATACTTATGTTTTCGGATTTTACGGATCAGACATCTGCGAAGGATACTTGTAGCTTCAGGCAACTAGTATATAAGATATATATTCACATGTCTATATCTATATATACAATAACCCGTTGTATTTATTTAAATTTGAACTATAAAATTACTTGCATTTGCATATTATATTAGCTTGCATTATTAGATTTTAATCTTACATTGAATACCAACTCGAATCACGTATTACGAAGAGAAACAGTGAAAGATCTTGCCGCAGATAATCAAGAATGCTCGAGACTTTATAAAATGTTAAAATACATTGTGACTAATACGACAAAACGAGTTTCAATGAATTTTAATAAAAGTTCCACGAAAAGAATGTAACGTATATTGGCATTACGTAAACGAAGAAATAAAAATAATTCGTCGTTGCTGATTCGTCTTGGCAATCACAATGAATGTTTTGATTCTGGAAAAAAAATTTGGAAAATTCCCCAAACGTAGTTTATTTCTAATTAATTTGCTACGCGCTATCTGTGACTAATGCGTCTTGTGAAACGTCATCAAGCAGAAGCCTCTACCACCAACGTCAAGTTGAATTAGTGAAGATCGCTTGTGGCATCTCATATATACCAGTTCTAACCATAGTTAAATGACCTGTAAATTGAAACATCATTCACAAATGTTAGAAGCAACGTTAGATTCATAAGAATTACAAATGACGTTTTTCGCTGTATTAAAATCAGTGGAACCGAAAGGATATTGCCAAAAGTTCAAATAAAACTTGGACTTTCCCCCCACTTCCTCCTCTTTGTTTTCCTCGTGAAACCCAAGAGGGGGTTACCCATATATCGAATGCTCAGCATGTTTCCAAACATTCCCTGTCGTCATCAAGAATCATACATTAATTTTAATCATTCCTTTCCTCAACTCCTTATCGTGCGTAATATGGGATTTACCTGTGCGTGAGTTAAGTGAGTGCGTGAGTTAAATTTCTAACATTTCTTTCCTCCTAAGACGTTCATCTTTATCCTCTCGCCAACTAGCCTCAAGATGCACGAATTTTACAAGGAGCAGGTAAGCAAACCGGACAGAAAACCAGAACTGGTTTTTGGTATTACGCATCTTTCCAAGAGAAGCCATCTGACATGCGTTAAGGAAACTTGTTATTGAATTTTTGCATTTCGTAACAGAACAAAGATGTCTCGCGCTACATATTTTCCTTGCGTTGATAAAGTAACTTGAGAGGAATAATCTTGGGTCAGAAACAATGAACGCTCAAGTTATCGTTATTATTCTTTTGTTTTAGATAATGCCATTGGTATTTTCTACTTTCATCTAAAGACCCGTCGGACTTGCTGATGCAAATTTTTCAACTCTTGCAAAATGGTAACGGAATATATGATAATCATCGGGTTTGAGTTGTTCTTAACAAATTTTTTTCTGTTCATCTCAAAATAGTAATGCTGATCGACGGAGTGAAAAAGTGACAGCACCATGATATTCTTAAGGAAACTAATGTGAAACTGTGTGTAAATCGGGGTCCTGGTGTAACGTAATAACAGAGTAGTAGAAGGGCAAACAACGAACAAACCCAGGGTCCACCAAGGCGGTTTCACATAAAAGCTCGTGGTACGTCAACGGGGCCAGACACTCTCAGCGTAACCATTGAGGAGGCCAGAGATCGAGAAAAGGACCCAGGAGTGGCCGAGTGAAAGCGCGGGAATTTTTGAGTGACGTTGAAACAAACTTGAGCTAGAAGAATTGTGATATTTTATTTTTTCTTTAAGTTGGCTGAATATTATCTATAATTTTTCAAAGGAAACAAAGAAAAATTGTTGTACATAATATCAAGTGGCATACGTGTTAATTGGGATAAAAAGTGTGTGATATTTTATTCCATAAGAGATTCAAAGTGATCAAATAGTCTGGAAGGAAGTGTAGTGAAAAGTTGAAGGTGAGTCTTTTCACGAAATACTGGAGCAATCCTTTCGTATCTTTATTAATTCATGTAGCTGCTTATTGTTAATGATTATCAGAGCGCGACTCCACACAACTTGCCTAATTGTTCTTCGTGCACTCGACTTTCAGTATCAGTATCTAAATTGTGCAACGTGACGATAAAGTCTTTTCATTTTGGAGAAGGTAAATATTAAGGATCTCGACGTGGACATTGAGCAGATACGCTAGTGTGTAAAAATACACTTAGACCGGTTCTCTTTTATTATTAATACACTGTATATAACCTATGCATAAATTCCGAAACTGCATTTTATTAATAGCTCGAATTCTTCTCAAAGACTAACCTCCTTCAAACTTTGAATTAATGAATTCAGAGTCTCTCAAGTTATTCAGGAAGTCATTTCTTCAAAGTATTCAATCAATAAAACTTGGAAGAGACAGTTATCGATCAACTATCAACTTCCTGCATTCATTTTTTTTATTTCCAAGTATTCAAGGCGATAGATCAACAGACGGCAGTTGAGAGGCTTACTTAATCCACACAAATATATTTATGCCCTCCAGCATATTTATACTTTATATATATCCAATGAGTAATATAAAATTATAAAAAGTTTCACGCTAGGCATTTATCTCAAGTATTTATCTCGATATCGATTTTAATATCGATAATAAACTTCGCGATTATCTATAATGAGATTCGAGCGATTTATCGCATAATGACGTCGCGCCTATCCCTATCTCCACAATGCACTTCTGCATGTGCAACGTACGGTGCATACGGTAACTCGAGTGCACTGACCTACGTCGCCGCAGGATGTACATTAAATTGAAACATCACCAGGGGAAAGGATTGGACCGTCAAGGACGGGCATTTTGCAAGTACGCTTTACGAATTACGCAATGTTACTTGGTTTCACTTGGAATTCCGGCAGTACGTCTTATTCGACTGTTATTAAGAATTGACATTTCAATATTGACAATGCACTTGTATATATTGACTTTCCTTACCGATTCCACGATTTATTTGAATCACCACATGTACAGTGTTAATCAACGTTAATAATTTAAAAAATTTTTATTATTAACCTGACCGGTTAACCTTGAAAATCTTATTCGATTGTATCGTCTGTATAAGATAAGAATGATAATAAAAATCTTTCTGTACCAACTTCAACTTTATCTTACAGATGGGTTCGCTGCAGCAACAGTCAGTACTAAAGGGCGAGCATGTTTCCATAAAACATGAAACATGTTTGGTACATAAAATATTTAATAAAATTGCCTACGAGAATCCTAATAAGCCAGCAGTCTTATACGAGGGTAAGATTTGATTAATGAAAAGTGTTAAAGGCAAAAATGCAAAGCTATAAAACCATATTAATTTCATATCTTTTACAGATGATAACGGCCAGGAGCGTGTACTGTCGTACGAGGAGTTGAACAGCATAACAAAGAAGATAGCTATAGCTCTTAGAAAATTAGCCAAGCCTCAAAAAGATGTGGATGCACTAATTGCAGTGTCGATGAACCCAACCGATCGGTTGCCGATAACATTATTATCAATTCTCAAAGCGGGAATGGCTTATTTGCCATTGGATCCTGAATTTCCAGTACCCCGAGTTACTCATATTCTTCAGGAGTCCGAACCGTTACTAGTTATATACGAAGAAGGAGGTGTGTATGATTATGGATAAATGAATATTGAAATAAGCAGGAGATAAAAGGAGCAAAAATATAACAGTTATATTGGCTGGCCTGTGTGTGCAGTCTATAACGGCGTCTACTGGTTTCACTGTATTATGCACTTGTCATATGCATTAATTATTTTGAGAACTGTCACGTTGATGGATATGAGGAAAAGGGAGAGTGAAGCATTTAAAAAGTAAATAATATAGTAGTGCACAGTAGACTCTTACGTCACTATTGCGTCCTCGGTTAGTCACTTCCGTCTAAGAGAAATGGAAAAGTCGGCACTTCAATGAAGTGCATAAATACCGGAATCGAGGCCAACAATCAGCGACCTTATCGACATCAGTTATCGCGAGTCGTGGCATTATCTTTAATTAGAGTTTGCGAATTAATCTTGTGAGATTTTTACACGGCATATTTAATTATATCCTCATTATGCATTCAAGGATGTATTTTTACCCTAATGCAATTCTCTGAATTAACTTTTTTTTTCTGCGTTTCAGCTGATGCATCAATCTATGGGAGCAGCAGGACAATTTCCTACGAGCGACTTCTGGACCTTGCTAATGAGGAAATAGAAAGCGACCTTGATCTCGACCAGAAAGATGAGGATCTAGCTATCGTTTTATACACTTCCGGTAGCACTGGAGTCCCTAAGGGTGTACGATTACCCCATGCGACTCTGATGAATCGTCTTTGTTGGCAATGGAGGACATTGCCCTATGGCGAGGACGAGAAAGTCTGTGTCTTCAAGACGGCCTTGACCTTCGTCGACAGCGCCTCTGAGATTTGGGCTCCTCTTCTTCAAGGTCGTACTATTCTGGTGGTACCAAAGCACGTGACCAAGGATCCCGAGAGGTTCGTCGAGGTCCTGGAAAAACGACAGGTCAGTGCCACCTATTAAGTAGGCTAAGTATTTACAAAGGTTAATTGCTTTTTGATTATGATTTATAGATCAAACGGCTTGTACTGGTACCTTCGCTTCTGCAATCGCTTCTAATGTATCTGGGACTGAGAGTAAGTAATAAAATTAAAACAAGAAAATAAACAAGTAAGGAAAAAAACAGTTGCAACAGGTGTTAGCTGTTGTACAAATTGTCCTTCTTGGTTGGAATTTAATTGATCAAGGATAACTTTATTCATGCATATGTAATCTTGATCATTTGAATTGATAGTGATTTGTTTAAATCCCAATTAAAATTCCTAACAAATTTCCTTCTCGGATATCTCTTGATTAATCAATTAAGCGAAACCATTACAGGAAGAAGATTATCTTCTAAATTCTCTGAAGCTCTGGATCTGTTCTGGGGAACCTCTTCCAGTCTCCTTAGCCCACCAGTTCCTGTCCAGATTCCCCAGCGGCGAGCACGTCCTGGCGAACTTCTACGGGAGCACGGAAGTCATGGGGGACGTCACTTATCATTTACTCAGTCGACCTAATCAGTTGCAGGGACTTGATAAAGTGCCAATTGGTGGGTAAAATGCACTGATAAAAATGCCTTGTGCATCCCAAGGATGACTGAACAGTTGATACATGAAATTTCGTGTATGCAGGTCGTCCTCTGGACAATTGCATCGTCTACCTAGTGGACAAACACATGCGGTTGGTACCTCAGGGTGAGGTCGGCGAACTGGTTGTAGCTGGTAGAAATTTGGCAGCTGGATACATTCGTAGAAGAGACGCACATAAATTCCTTGATAATCCTCACGTCATAGATCCAGGTACTTTAAATACAGCTGTCATTGCAATTGCATTTCTTTGTAGCATCAATGAACTTGGAATGATTCATAAATAGACTTCATTGACCTATTGACTTCACCGCACCCCACTATGATCACTTAACAAACTCATTGTTATATCCCCAGTTACAATCGCCTGTGACAAATGAACTGTTAGAACAGATTACAGGTAACAGTTAACCACTATGACGACCTAAGAGATAAATTAGCTTGAAATTACTAGTCTACTGTTATCCAACAGAGCCATTGTTCAAAGAGGTGGCAATGAATTCCAATTACCAGGCATTTCCTTCGACGCAACTGGGTTCTTATAACAGCTACCTCGTCCTCCCCACTTAGTTAATCTTCCAGCACCTATACCTGCTTCGATTCATTGCTTCACCCGTTAGGATGCGACTGCAATTGCAATGGCTTCGGTCGTTGCATTTACTATAGAAGCAAGAGAGAAGGACAAGTAATGTGAGTGGGTAAGAGATGGAAAATAGATAGAGAGGAATCAGATCTGCAAAGCATAGAAAGGAAAAATATAAATGAGATCATTTCAAAGTATGTAGATCGTGGTTCTTATTGGTATTCTGGTACGGTTCATTTTATAGATCGTAAATGGAAATTACTCCCTTTCCTAAGTTAATGCTGAGACTCCTTTCCCTGGGTCGTAAATTGATATTTTATTGTAGGCGAAACGAAGGACGTGCTGAATTGTCCTGTGGTAATGATTTTATTATTTTCAAGGATACTCGAAAATCTATTGCACTGGGGACTATGCGAGAATCGTCAAGGGTCTTGTGATCTATGAGGGTAGGACCGATTCTCAAGTTAAGGTACGTGGACACAGGGTTGATCTTGCTGAAGTTGAAAAAGCAGTGGCTGCTGCGCCTGGTGTCAATAAGGCCGTCGTCCTTTGCTACAAACCTGGAGAACTGTCACAGGTAAGGATTTACATTGAATTTTTAGAAATTTTTAAAATCTTTTCTTTTTACTTCTTTTCTTTCATTTTTTTGTAGGCTCTGGTTGCGTTCGTCAATGTTAAGGAAGATACGTCAATCTCTGGACTTCAGATTGAGAGTTTCCTGCAGAATACACTTCCACCTTATATGATTCCCCAGGTCATCGTCCTGGACTCTATTCCTTTGCTTGTTAATGGAAAAACGGACAGACAGGCTTTACTTAGGAAGTACGAGACCATTACTGGTCCAGGTAATTTCAGGGAGAAATGAAAATGTTCAAGAATCTAAAATAACTCAAATCTTCTTTTGCAGATAGCGAAGAAGTTGTAGAGTGCGATTATACGGGTGTACCCGTGGATATGTTGCCTATGGCAAAGGTCTTATTTCCTACTGTTGCTTTTGTCGTAGGACGTAGTAGTCGTGCCGCAGTGACGGTTAATTCAAATTTTTATGAACTTGGCGGAAATTCATTAAACTCCATTTACACAGTGACTAAATTAAGGGATCAGGGTTATCAGATTGGTATAACTGATTTCATCACGGCTAAATCTATGCTTGATATTCTGATTAGAATGAAATCAGATTCAGATGCAGAGTCTGTAGGAGATAATGATAGCCTTGATAATTATATTGTGGAGAAATTAAATGATTCTCATAAAGATGACGTAATACGGTAAATATACCTTGTTATACTTACTATTTAATGTTATTAATAATACGACTGAGTTAATTAGACTAAGTTAATTATACGACTGCAATTTTTGTATTTCAGAATGATCACTGATAGTTTTTATTCAAAAGCTGATTTGGAATATTGGCTGATGCCTGATATATCTAGAGAGGATTACAGTGATTTGATGATCAAGATGTGGGAGCCTCTGGTGGAAAAGGGATTCAGTTTTGTCATCAAATCCTTAGAGGGTGAAGCTATTGGGGTTGCATTGAACTTCGACGCAAGGGATGAGCCTGAAGTGATGATAAATTCAAAGCTGACAATTATTTTTGAGTTCTTGGAGTACCTGGAAGGTCCTATCAGAGACAGCAAACTGCCCAATGGACTGGGTCAGATTCTTCATAGCTTCATGATGGCGACCAATCAGTCTCTTAGTGGAGCTGAAAATGTTACTGTCATGAGAAAGATGGAGGAGGAATGTCTTCGTTTGGCTAGGAGAAAGGAATTCGCTGGAATATTTACAACTAACACGAGTCCACTCACTCAGGTAATTTTAATGGAAGTTAGTGTATATGGTAGAATTTGTTATTTCTACGCCATCTGTAAGGATATATTGGGAAACTTATTATGGATATCTTATTTTTCAGCAACTTGGGACTGATATTTATGGGTATCAAGTATTGCTAGACTATCAAGTAAACAAGTATATTGCTCCGGATGGTTCTAAACCTTTTGGCAAGGCGCCGGATGAGCAGAGAGCTGTATGTTCCTGGAAAAGTGTACATTAGTATTTTGTGAGCAAAGTTCTCGTTGTTGATATATTTTTGGCACGGTTTTAGCTTTCCTTGATCAGTATTAATCAGGATCAATGATTATTACCGACAGAATTTCGATTTGTGATGATTGTAAATATATTTGTAAATATGGATAAAAATTGTAGTAGCTGTGTGTAATGTTATGTTCTTAGGTAATAGTAATTAATCGTTGAAAGGTAATAGAAACGTTGTTTTCCAATATTAACTAAAAGGCCAACAAATGCACATCATTTATTTATAAAGAATAATACATTAAAACAACATTAATTAGCGTATGGAATAAAGAATATATAATTACTGGAATGACGTAGGTTTCTCCCTGTTTAGTCTGATGTATAAATGTATCCAGGGTACTTGAGTATCACAGCATAAATAAATTTTCAGCAACTGCTAGATTTATCAGGAAATTTTCCACGGCTGGCGCTAGATTTCTCTCTTTGAAGGTTTCCACGGAGACCATTTTTTGGCCCTCAGGGGTTTCCACAGTGGCCAATGACCTTAATTGGTTTAATAAATCTTGAGTCTTATCAGCAATCTCGGATATTATTTGAGCTTCACTGTACGATTGGTTTTCGCACAGTTGCACCATGAATAATGCAATCTCTTTATGCGTTTTTGTCATCGTAAGGCTCTCTGGAAAAAATACAGATTACCATAATATCAATGTCTCTCGTGAGTATAATTATAAACAGACCTAAATACCTTTTGCGTGTGGTGCAACAGTAATTTCGCGGGCTGGTAAATTCACCAGAAGATCATACAACTCGATCCTTGATGAAATTGAGCTATCTCTACATCCTGCAACGTAGTGTGAATGACCCTGTAAAAAAATTGATATGAAATTGCTGAATAATCATTAAATATTCTAATGTACCTTCAATTCAGCCAATTCATCCTGCACCAAATCGACCCAAGGAAATAGATTTTCCGTTACTTTTCTGTGTTTCATCAGAGCTGGGAATGATCTTATCCATTTTAAAAGTTGCTCCAGACTGTGGTGATATACGATAATTCGTTTTTTTAATAGAAGTGCTGTATAAATCAAAATTGTTTCTAGTTCAAAAGCCTTGATCAGGTCACGAACATTAGTATTGGTTACTGCTCTCCTGCCATTGAAGTCGTCAGATACAAATGTTCCATTTTCTTGTGTTGTACACGATCCCTTTGTGAATACACAGAGGTACAGTTTCAAGAGCTCTGCGGGATTACCAGTTTTGCAATACGTTTTACTAAGAATACGGCAAAGCACTTCATATTTCTGTGGATTGAAATCCTTGGTAAATAGTACCAAAGCAAATTGTTTCACCTGAAAAAGCATACTTTTTAGTAGTACATAGATCGGAAAAACACATAGTACATTTATCACTTAATGTGTAGTTTACCCTAGGCAGTTTATCAGAGTCAAATACTTCGCAACATTGAATGTAAAACCAATCTTGTCTATGTCTCGCACAGACAAAAGGTTGGATATGATTGTTCTCTGAATGTGAATTACATTTTCTTGTAACAACAGTTTTCTGAGCCGTAGTCACACAGGGGTAGGACCAAGCCCATAAAACATCTCCATTGCAATCCTTCTCTATAAAAAGACATTTACATCTATATCCATACAAAGACACCCATTAAGTAATTTTGATAAAATAATAAAATGAATATTGCAGATATAAGTCATTGATGTGTAAATGAAAAATATTTAGAATAGGCTCATTCATCAGAGCTTTCTAAAGAAAAAAATATTGTGCTAATAATATTACCAATTATACTACAGGATAACAAATCAACAAGCGGCGCCATCTTGGCCACACCATAGAGTTCAATGCAAATCCTCACTTTGAAACTTTGGAAATAGGACAATTTTAATCAGTAATATTCTGTTATTCCTGATATTATTACGAAAAACTAATATATTTTTTTTTCATTACAACGAATATTTCTATTACATTTGCGTAAACTAAATTCTGATTATAAAATTTATTTTGAAGAATCCCAATGGAGAGCAGAGGCAGCCATATTAATCTAGTGTCGGCCTTTCATCCGGTACACGCGGTCTTCGATTCGTGGTAAGGCACGTCGAAGCCAAAAAAACTGGAAAATTCATTACATACGGATATTTTCCGTGCTTCCAAGCAGTTTACATGTTAAAGCTGTGATCCCACGAAAACGCGAAAATGGCTAGATACGGGCAGAGGCCCGAAAATGCCCTGAAAAGGGCCTACGGTGAGTAGAACACCTTAGCATATGATTTTCAACATGGCTGGGTGAACTTTCTTCGAGTTCTCTATTCACTCTATTCACTATTTTGGCTCGTATCCCATCGAAACAAACTTCTCTTCTCTCCTCTTGGCTACGGATCTCGCAACACTATTACATTTTACTCCTAGCTCGAGTGACAAGCCAATTACTTATAATTATTTCGTAATAGTTTTTGTCGGCCTGATTCACGTCACACCCTTATTTTATATATATATTTTCATTTGTGATCGTATGCACTTTCTTAACCATATGCTATGAGAGAAAAGACAGGCTTCAATGAACAAATATTTTTCCATACTGGAATAATAACGAATATTTTAATTTGCTATAGGTACTTGTATACGTTTTTGTGATTGTCAATAAATTTTTTTCTGGGACAGAATTCATCGAAGTGGGGAAACCAGCCAGAGCTTTGGACACCTTGCAGGAGGTCTTCCGCAACAAAAAATGGACATACAGCTGGTCCGAATCGGTTCTCGAACCAATAATGTTCAAATATCTGGATCTCTGTGTGGAATTGAAGAAATCGCACATTGCCAAGGAAGGTCTTTTCCAGTACAGGAATATGTTTCAAACTGTGAATGTTGGAAGCTTAGAAAATGTTATACGTGGATATTTGCGTATGGCAGAGCAGAAGACAGAAGCAGCACGCAAGCAAAGTCAGCAAGCTGTTGTAGATATAGATGATCTCGACAATCTTGCTACACCGGAAAGTATTTTATTGTCAGCTGTCAGTGGAGAAGATGCTCAAGATAGAAGTGATCGCACGATATTAACGCCGTGGGTTAAATTCCTATGGGAATCATATTGCCAGTGTTTGGAGTTACTTAGAACTAATGCTCACGTGGAAAATCTATATCATGACATTGCGCGGATGGCCTTCCAATTCTGTCTCGAGTACAACAGGAAAACTGAGTTCCGTAAATTGTGTGAGAAGCTTCGCAAACATTTAGAAGAGATATGCAAGCTTCCTCAAGGTACCTCAAATGTTTCCATTAACAAAGCTGAATCTCAACATTTGAATCTGGAGACGCGTCTGATTCAGCTGGACTCAGCGATTCAAATGGAATTATGGCAGGAGGCATATAAAGCTATAGAGGACATCCACGGCCTGATGAACCTTTCGAAGAAGCCGCCAGTGCCAAAAACTATGGCAAACTACTATCAGAAGTTGGCTATGGTCTTCTGGAAGGCTGGCAACTATCTTTTCCACGCTGCAGCACTATTCAAGCTTCTACAACTGTCACGCGAGATGAAGAAGAACATGTCTCCGGAAGAGCAACAGAGAATGGCTAATCGAGTACTGCTGGCAACGCTGTCGATCCCTCTACCATCTGCACATCCTGAGTTCGATCGCTTCATAGAAACCGATAAGAGTCCCCTGGAAAAGGCCCAGCGACTGGCAGTTTTATTGGGTCTTAGTCAACCACCAACAAGAGTCTCATTGCTGAGAGACATCGTGCGTATGAACGTGGTTCATCTGGCTTCACCACAGCTGCAGGAGCTCTACTCCTGGTTGGAAGTCGAATTCCATCCTCTACGACTCTGTGACAGAGTCCATTCTGTCATTCAGACCTTGCAGGTCGACGAGAACAGTCCCCTAGCGCAGTACGTTACTGCTCTCCAGGACGTCACCCTGGTACGACTTGTCCATCAAGTTTCTCAGGTCTATCAGACCATCCAGTTTGCTCGACTGCTGCAGCTGGCTAAATTCACAACAGACTTTCATCTGGAGCGTCTCCTGGTCGACTGCGTGCGCTACAACGATATGCAGATCAGGATTGATCATGGAAAACGATGCATACACTTTGGAGTTGATCTCTCTGAAGCTCAGCGCGAGGATCATCCGGACGGACCAGTACTCCAGGCTATGCCATCCGAACAAATCCGCTGCCAGCTGGTGAATATGGCGACTGTTTTACACCGAGCAATCAATGTAATCAATCCGAACAAGAAAAAACAGGAGCGTGAGAAGCTCCGCGCTAGTATGGTGAACCACTACCATGAGACCAAGGTAAAGGAGCACCAGAGGATCCTGGGTCGACAGAAGATAATCGAGCAGAGGAAAGAGTACATCGAGCACATCAACACGGTGCGCGAGGAAGAGGAAATGCGTCGCCAGGAAGAGCTTCTCAGACAGCAGATGCTAGCCGAACAGAAGAGACTCGACTTGGAGCGCGAGGAACGTGAACGTAAACGTCAGCAGAGCGAAATTCAGCAAATCAAGGATCGCCATCTCAAGGAGAAGATGCAGCAAATCTCCCAGACCAGCCACGGTCAGAAGGTTCTGAAGAAGCTGGACGAAGATGAGATAAAGAAGCTGGACGCGGAGCAGATAGCAGCTAGGGAAGCCGAGGAGCTTCAGAAGGAGCGTCGCGAGATGCAGCAGAAACTAAAGTCTCAAGAGAAGAAGGTGGACTACCTGGAGCGTGCGAAGCGCATCGAAGAAATTCCACTCCTGGAGAAGGCTGTCGAGGTGAAGATCGAGTTGGCGAAGCAACGTTGGGAGCAGCAGGAGGCTGAGCGTATCCAAGTGGCCATTGAGGAACGTCGAGAAGCAGAAGCCACCCGGGAGCGCATGGCAAGAATGAAGGAGGACCACGATATATTCCTGGCGAAGATCCTGGCAGAGCGTAAGAACGTTTACCTGGAGAATCTGCAAGAGTTCGAGAAGATGATAAACGAGGAGCGCGCAAAGAAGCTGCTCGAGAGGAAGATTCAGCGCAAGGCTGAACGCAAGATGAGGTGGGAGCTGGAACGCGCAGAGTCTGCGGAGAGGAAACGCCTCGAAGAATTACGCATTCGTCAGGAGGAGGAACGGAAACGTCTCGAGGAAGAAAGACTTAAACGCGAGGAAGAGGAACGAATCCGTCGTGCAGAGGAAGAAGCTCGTGAAGCAGAACGTCTTGCTAAATTGGAGAAGCAGGCGGAGATCATCCGCGCCCGGGAAGCTGAAATAGAACGTAAACTCGAAGAGGAGAGACAAAAGGATCAAGTATCCGACAGTTGGCGCCGTGGAGGCGAACGTGAACGCGATAGAGATCGTGATCGCGACCGTGATCGTGATCGTGATCGCGACCGTGATCGTGATCGTGAACGTCCAGAACGTCCACGATTTGGGCGTGATGCACCACCTAGAAACGGTACGTTATCCATTAAGATGACCAACGTAAAATTACATCATTTAAATTTACAATAATAATACTTAATCCTCATAGCCCCCGAAATGTCCTGGAGAAGCAGCGGAACCGGTGGAGAATCCAAGGAGGAGACCTCCAAGGAAGAACCCGACAAATGGAAAAGACGCGAAGAAGGGGGTAGCGCGGACAGCCGATGGAAGAAACGAGAACCGGATCTAAATATCACGTAAGCTCTAATTAATAAAGTTCACCGAACCTATTTATCCAATCAATTGAATTTTTATACTCGAATAAAATTCAATAGCCGAAGGAAACGTGAAGGGGATGTCCGTGAACGCGATTCGTCGCCTTCTCGTCGTGACAAATACGAACCGCCTAGTCGCACATTCGAAAAACGTGGGGATGACCGAGGACCTGTGAGTATAGCCTAATCTAAGATTTATATCAATCAAAGTATTACCTAGATCCAGGAGCTAATTCATTAATTCTCAATGGATGCAGTCGAGATCCTGGAGGGATACACCCGCCCCACCCCGATCAGAGCCACTTTCACGTGGACGCGATATTCGTGACAGCCGTGATGTTCGCGAAGGACGTGATGGACGCGACGTTGCTCGTGATGGACGGGATGCATGGGATGCACGGGATGGACGTGATGCACGGGATGCTCGGGATGGACCTCTGAGTCGTCCATTCCCACCACGCGGAGGAGACGATCCTGCTAGGTCTGGAACCAGTGACTCCTGGCGCTCCCGTGAGCCACTTAAACGTGAGGACCGCGACCGTGAGCGCAGGGAGGAGAGGCCTCCTCCCAAACGCGAGGAGCGTAAGGATACGCGACCCCCAGAGGATGATGGCTGGTCGAAAGTATCACGTCGTTAAGGACGAAGACGCGCAACGATCGATCATATAAATCAGGTCGCAAACGATGGACACGCATCGCGACGTCAAAAAAACTTCTCTTACACACTGAAGAGTCAAGGATACTACTAAGACATCTTCTTCTGGAACCTGCCGATCCCGTCGACAGTTAATTTCTACTATTTCAAGTTTTTTTTTTTAATCGAAAAGGGTTTATCAGTCCTTTACACTATAGAGTTAAGGAATGAGTGAGGAAAGTATAAAGAAAAAAAAAAACAAGGGAGTTTGGATAAAAATATAGGAATTGAATTATTTATTTCCAGTTCGCCCTATTACGAATTACAAGCTCCTCCGTTATTGTTAATTATAATCCCAAGGAGGTGCTTACAAGTTTCGGAATTGACCATCGTAATCCTTTAAAAGTTCCTTGCTCTAGTAATTAAACATTTTCCAATATCGATAATCTAATTGTACCGATATGCATAACGTCGCGATAATTACAAATTTCATTAATTAACATCCGCAGGTCCGGAAAGGATTAACCGACATCCTTACAGTACGCGCATCCTTAATCCAGACAATTTTCTTTTAATGGGCAAGTCGAGGTGCGCGTTTATATCAATCAGGAATCCGGTGCGCGTTCACTGGTACACATTTTGAAGACAACATTGAGAATAGATATGAATAGAAAACAAGAGATGATTGATAGAGAAACGAAGCGCAATACGAAAAATCAAATGAATTAATTCCGATCGATCGAACAAGTATTTTTACCGATTTCTTAAATACTTTTAAGTGTTTATGTCCACGAGTCGGCGTAGACGAATATATAACGCAAGTAAGTAGCCGCCATTATGTACGGTGACTTCCATGTAATAAATATATAAATACCATGAGAAATATACACGTATACCTCGACATGCATTGTTATTAATTAATATCGCTAAGACCCCTCGATAATCCGGCATTATCATACGAGAAAACGTCGAGGCTTGAGAGGAAGGAAATAAAGAATATTTATATAAAATGGGACGAAAATTTCACAGGTAAAATAAATACAAGAGAATTTAATTAAGGATTAATTAGAACATATATATAGGGTCTCCCGAAAAAAATGGCGCACTTTCTATTTACACTCATCGCCCAATCTCCATATAGCCGCACGATATTTCGGCTTAAAAATTCGCACGCAAAGTAACGACCGTATCCTGCGCTACATCCTAGTTTTTGTATCCTTCATTTCCTTTTTCTCCAACCAACTCTCCCACGTAACGGCTAATTACTCAGACTCGTAATTTTCATCCGCCGAACGGATGTGCTGCACGTCCTTCCGTCCGAGCCTCGTCATCGACCTTAGTAGAGCATAATGGCGGCAGCTGTCTTCTCCTCCAGAGCAGGAACAGTTTCCAGACGATCATCGCGTTCCCTACCCGAGCCCCAGCCTACCAGAGCAATGTTGATCAAGTGTACGACACCAGCGCCAACGACGAGCCTAAAACGAAACTTTACGATTAGTACTAAGATTGACACTGCTTTATCATAACTATTGTTTACCCACCAAAAAGAGTAACCTAATTCAGCTGAACCTTCACTGGTCCACATGTTGTCGATATCTTCCTTGGGTAAGACGTTGTTGTAAAGTCTGGTGTAATACTGCGCCAACCAGGTACCCGAACTGGCCACGCAGAGAAGTACTGTGGACATGATCATTCGATCAGGACGCATTCTGATGGCATTCAAAATATTCAACAAACACTCACAGGCTATTATGTTCATGAGGTATACACCAGGAACCGAGAGGATCTTGGCACGTGGTGACGTCGCCGTGTTCAACACTGCTAGAAGGGCTGCCAGTGCAGCTGCTACTAGAGCAGCCGACGTCGTGCCCAGGGTGCCGATCCAGAGTCCCCAGGACATCACCGAAGGATCCTGTCTGATCATTTGCGACACTGCGAATGTCCGGGTAATATATTATTTTAATTTTTATGTAATTTATTCTTTTAAATTATCAATCGTTCCCCCTTGTGACTCTTGCGTAAACTACCGTTACGTATCTTGCGTAGGAGTTTAGCAGGACTTTCCAAGACTCGATAAAAGCATCGTTCACGTATTTCATCCATATAATCGTTAACATTAGGTTTCATCATTATATTTGTGAACTATCCTGATTATGGTTAGTTTTAAAGTCATTGAAAACCAAGTACAGAAATCCTTTACTTTCTAAAGTGCCTGTCCGAGTCACTGCATTGGTATATATGTCTATACGCACGAGGATAATATTGAAAATTAATCCGAATTCAAATTAGATACAAGATAATCGATGACAGCTCAAATTAGTATTCAAGTATGACGAAAGTAATGTCAGTTATAAATTTATACTATTGATTATCAGATTGTTAATCAATGCCGGATGCCGATGATAAAAAAAGATATTGCGTGATTAATTTAATTGACAGAAAATAAACTGAGGACCTACTGCGCATGCGCACAGTGTATTATGAAGAGACTGTTATCAATTCAAAATCCGAACGCCTATTGGAAGACAGTCTAGAAGGACACTTTAAAGAGGACAGACGGTTAACGAGGCGAAAACGAAGTCAACATGGATTGGAGGATGAGCACCAGGCTGTGACCGGGAAAGGAAAAAGTAAAAGTGAGTCAAGAGATTCGTCTGGCATATTTCTCTTGCGGCTATTGTTGATTCTGAGACAAAATACGAAAATGTCAATCTATGACAGTTCGACTACGTGTTTAATCGGTTGACAGTCATGTAGCGCGATCGGGATGTATATATTTTATACCGAAAAGTGCCGCTACATTTTTGTAGATCATATTAAACAAACTCTATCGCACTGCTTGACACTGTTCAATAGGATTTTTGCATTGAACCCTGCCAATCGAACGGTTAAATCATGCAGAGTTAACCTTAAAATGTAGACGAGTTGAATACGTTCCAGTATCGCTGAATTTAGAATTATAATTGGTGTCTCTTCAGGAATTATGCATGTCCTGAAGAATGTACGTGGAATTTGAAAATTCCTTTAGATGTTTCGAATACTAATTTCACCGTGGTTAACTTCGCCTTCGTCGTTTAGGACTCGTAGGAACGACTTGTCAGACGGTGGCGGTAGTCAGTCATCCTAGGGACTGTTTATGCATCACGGAGAATGTTAATTCAACGTGCATAGGTACTTTAAGTGAACGTGACTAGTTCAATTACGTGAGTTACTTTTTTCCCAGGAGTTTTATTACTTAATAGGAACCCTCGAGGATCAGTTCAATGAAACGGACTATACGGATGAGAAAATTACTGTAACGGTTAACGAAAAATTTACTTCCGGCTTGTATTAAAAGATACTCAGAGACTTACCGGATACGTGATAAGTCCTCCATCCGTAAGCAACGTTTAATTCCTTCTTTCCCTGTAGAAGACCCAGATGGACGCGACCTGCACTCTCTTGGGGATTCGGTGTTCGCCAAGGCTTGGCCTCGACCCAGTGCTGAGTAACTAGAGCAGCACAGACCAGACCACCTCCCAATAACGAGAGGAAGAAAGTCGCGAAGATGGTGCCTCTTCGGAACATCGACGTCATCCTGGAGTCGCGGGGAGGACCGCCAGGGTTGCCTCCACCGCCCTTTCTAAAATTACCAGCTACTCCTGCACGTGGGTAGGATGTCGAGAGGTAATTTTTTTTTTTGTGGAAATTAATGACTATGGCGACTTGGCGAACCAAGGGTTTCAATAATTACCCTGGGCTTGTGCTTCTGCAAAGTGGACCTGACTGAGACTCTTGGAAAATTCTCCCTGCTTAACCTTCTGGGAGAATTCTGCCGAGCTGAGCTTCTTCGAGAACTTGACCCTGTTATTACTACGGACTTTACCAGGCTTTTGCAAGGACGAGGGCCTCGGCCTCTTGGCGAAGGTGTACGGTATAGTATAAGGTTGAGCTACGTAAAAGTAAATCGGCCTATAATCCTCGTGTATCTGCTGAACGCAGCTGCCATTCGTGGTGCATCCGTTGTAGACACTCGGTGGATTATTGCTGTAGGTGTACGAATTCGGATAATAGATCCCGTACTGGTTCGCCGTTTTTCGCGAGTGCCTTTCCACGGTTCACCAGGTGCCGCTCCTCGACCTCTACTTCGTGCCTCCTCGACGCTTCCTCGTCTTCCTTCACCTCCACCACCAGCACCAGGACCACCACGGGCGTAACAGGATCCTGGATCTTTATAACCCCCGGTCGTTCCTGATGAATATTTCAATTGAACCTGATCGATCGATCCTCTTGAGTCGATACCGGACTCCTTCAAGACCTGCAAACTGTCGTGAGAGCTCGTTGTTAATTGGTGAGAATTTTTCATTACCCTTTGGAACAAACACGAGAATTATAAATGGGTATTTAATAGGAGCTGAGTGGGACTTCGCTTTCGCTGAAGGATCTCTGAAAAATTTTCACCGGAGACCTCGAGGATTCCTCCATCCATAAGAATATAATTACGATCCTCGACGAGTGGCAGTCATATACATTGTAATATGTATGTTTCCTTATCGTCGAAAAAATCACGTAGAACTAAGTGAAATCTTTATTTTCGCTTCTCCACTTCTCACGTGTAACTGCGTTCGCACGAGCCACGGAGATCTCAGTCACGTTGTGACACGGCCTAACGGCATTCCGGATCCCACCGCTCCTACTAGTTGTTTGCATTCCGGTATTCTCCTTTTTTTTTTATTTTACTCCGCGTTCTTCCCTACTCTCTCTCTCTCTCTCTCTCTCTCTCTCTCTCTCTCTCTCTCTCTCTCGCGCGCTTCTTATTCTTATTCTCATTCCAAGTCCTATCCTTCATTAAAGCACTTGCTCGACCGGTCGCTCATGAATTTTCGGCCATGCACTATGCACCTCGTGTTTACTTGTAAATACAGTTGGTCTGAGTAAAAAAAAATACATACGTTTAAATAAATAAGATAAATAATATTTGTAACCCTGACCGGTATCACCGGGAATATGTTAAATGGCCCCCCGATAAAGAGGTTAGATAATTCCTACGTTTAATTAGGCGTCAAGTGTGCTAACGAACTGTACAAAAAATCTAATCAGCATCTTATACGGAGATCGGTATGAAATCGGTAAAGATCACTTCGTATCTTAAAATTGTAATCCTTAATTTTTTTTAAAGCAGGTAAGATTCGACGCGTGACGCAACGAGCCAATACCGGTCGTTTCCTACCGGGTATTCGCCATCATGGCAAGATCCACGAAGCTGATGGGAAACTGGGTCAGGTGCCGTCTCTTTCCAACGGCTCGCTCGATGTCGAGACGCAGACCGCCGCGACGCTTGTCCTTCTCAACTATTCTCTGGGACGGTATCCGACTCGCCCACCTGGAAATACGCCCACGAGATCCGAGAGACCTGGCGACCGAGAAAACTACTTTTCCTTCACTGTTCCTCGTTGCTCCCACTGGTCCAGATCTGGATAGCACTGTTCCAGGAGATGGTGCACCGGGAAACGAGTGGAATAGAAATGTAAAATTCAATTTTATACTCCAACTGTACTCTTTCATCCTTTGCTCCATCCTACCATAAGCCTGCATACACACATCACTATCTAGGATCTCTTGGGTAAGATACTCGAATACAAAGATCAAGGATATTCCGGATCTTCTGAAACCGTATCTTTGAACTCTCCAGGTTTACCAGCCTACGTGAGCCTACACAGCCACTGGCCCTGGGCAGCAGACCGTTCCATTCGCAGAGACGAGTGAGGTCAGCGGATAGCATGATTAAATATTCCGCTAGAATCCTCAGGATGTATAACATCTTTAACGTGGATGCAAAATCTATATACCTGAGTACTGGCAGCATAAGCTCCTTGAGGATGACGCGAACGAGCGTCGTGGATCTTGACGGCTTCCGGGTAACACTGTCACCTCAGTTCGATATCATTACTTCCCGTATACGATTTTTGCATCCTCATCCGTTTTAACTCCCTGTTACGACTGTTGTGACTTTTCTTTCCTTTTTTTTTTTTTCGATTCTTCCTTTTACTCGCCACTCTTTTTTTCGCTTTGCCTGCTTTCTCCTTTATCCAAAATTTTTCTCGTCCACGTTTAAACAATGGCTGTTTCAATTTTTGCCAACCTCGTCGTCTTTCGCACTTGGGACTTCTCTACTAACAGCACAATATACTGTTTCAGCACTTTTACTGAGGCACTCCGACGCGATCGCAGCAGCAGGCTTTCGGCTCGACTGAGTTTCTACCGTGTTACCTCGACTCGACTCACTTACATCGGGGGGCCCCCGTCCTTTCAGTCTGCCTATACACTTCTTTCAGTGTGTGCGGCTCGCAGGTGAGACCAGATGGCAGCACTTACCCTTCTCGATTTTGCACCTGGCCGGTAGGAAATAACTTTTACCGGTCGGCTACTTTCTGGAATTTTATATATATACGTATGTACACCTTTGTCAAGCTCACTCGTAGTACCTTTATTTACCTGATCCAGTATAGACACACTCGTTCACTTACAGGTTATATTAATATTTTAATATACGTTATTTTCTTTCTAGAAGAGGGCTATCATGCCGTCGCTGATGTTCTCGATGTCGAACTTCGGCTCCGCTGGCTCGCTGGTTACTATTTTCTCCCTGAGGTAGAGCATACCGATGTTAGTCAGATGCAGAGAGACCGGCGCCAAGAGTAACCTGCCGTATTCAAATTCAATAAGTCTTCTAATTGATCGCACAATGTATTATTTCGACTCGTACCAGTAGGAGTATCCTAAGGATGCATTAGATACATATTCGCCGACTATTGTATCTCTTATGGCGACGCCATATTGCGTGACGAGAGCGTAATGGATTCCGAAGATCAGTAGAACCAGGACATTCAATCCTACGGTTATGGCGTTCATCCAATAAATTCCCTATAAAAAGGAGGCTATCTAAACACACCGGTTTTTTCTTTTTCAGAAACAAAAAAGAAATTATTTACTTCAATGTTCAACAGTGTCTCAGCGGGATTCTTGAAGATGTTTAAAAACGTCACAGCAATCGTCAGAACGACAGCAAGCATCAAAAGACTCATTGCTATCACTGTGCACAACCAGGCGCCCGCATTAAAAAATTGCTCACCGCCAGTATCTGAATATAAATATGAGATATAAAAATGTTCACCCAAAAAGAGTAATGTTAGTCGCTCACCATTTGTACTTTTGATAGATGAATTCGTAGCCAAAGTCCTGGTAGACGTTAGACAAGCAAAAGAAGGAGATTCACCAGCAAGAAGTGATTTAACTTCAGCGACTCTAGCAGAAGCGTCTGCTAGACAGCTCCAAGCACAAGCATTTGATGACCAGACGCACGTTACTGTAAGAATAATAATTAATTGAAAGACGATATGAAGTTATTATTAATGGATTAATATTAATATATTCTTTACTGTATATATCATAATTTCTAGGTGTCTGCACGAGGCGTCTAATCAAAGTGCCTTTGAAGAGTCCGTGATTGACGTCAGAGTCTTCAATGGTCTGAGATTCCCTGACGACAGATGTCGGTGCACTTATCCATCCCTCTGTACCCATTGAGATGCATATTATAATCAGGGAGGATATGGACAGTAGAACCGTCACGTGTAAAAAGACCGCGTACTTTCTCGTCGCCATTTATTATGACCGCAGATACGCAGAACACATAGACACCGATGGTCAGCAGCCACACCGGAAATTCGACACCTGTACCAGAGACTCTCTATGATAGCGATAGATCAGGTTCCTCTCGATTTCTCGCGGTTCCTCGTTCTTTATCCGTTTTCACAGTCTCCAGGAAACTTCGCGTGACCAGGCTTTAACAACCCGACGATGACGTTGAGGATGACGAGAATAACTTTCCTGGTGTCATTTTCCCAATTGGGATTTACGGTACACTGTGGATGCACAAATAACACTGTTTTATTTTTTCCTTCCAGATATGCGAAACTGAAGTAGAATAATTAACTGCGCGCCATTTTCAACCGATGAATAGTCGATTATTGGATTATTATCGATAGTAATTTAGGATGGGATTTCATTTAACCTCGCAACGCTTCGGTTCGATCTCCGTAAAATAATCGACGGGCAGTTGACAACAGCATCGCTATCACTGTGTCGATTGATATTTGGTATGGAACCTGTGTGGATGATAGTGAAGATAATACTGATTGCTAATTGTTGTCAATTTTTTTGGCTGTTAAATTAGGGTTGATCCTCGCGCGACGAAACTTGGGACTGCTGTTGCTCATGGCGAACTGCTCTGCTGTAACCATTTGACTAATTATTATCTTATCGGATTTCTGGTGGCATAGCACTATCGGGAAAGAGCTGATACCGTTTTGTTAGTGGAATAATCTTCTCTCTTTTTTCCTCTGGCTTTTGTTTCTGTTTACTTAATACGGACGTGGATATTAGCATCGTACGTAAAAAATATCAAGCCCTCTTGATATCCACCTGACAGAAATTGACAGATGTCGAGTCTTTAGCGACCATCTTCTGTCAATATTTTCATTTTATTAGAAATCACCGGAACTGATTATCAACTTTTTACGAGAATGTGTTGGTGTTTGATTATTGTACATACATAATAGAGTTATGTACGCTCGTGGCCCTTGTGTTAATGTGATCCATATCTTTTACGAATACGAAGTCTTATTATAGACTTACGTAGTAGCGTCAATTGTTCTTACTGATTTACTGCTATGACTAGCAGAGATCATTCACGATAAGTTACACTATCATACGAACTATTAGCGTTGATGGCGTGAGTCATGTTTATTTCACGTATTATCAGTTACGACGAGGAAGCGAAGAAGTACGTAATTCGACATGTATGTAAAATTGATTTTATATTTAGGAATGATTTGCATCTGATACTGGTAGAGAGATTCAGTCTTGTTGGACTTTACGTCTGACGGTTAGTGGGCACAATGGGTATGGAAGATATATTGTCGGATTTTGTGGAATTTTTTTCAATTTTTGAAAAATTTTTCCAGGTATTTTTTTTAATTTAATTCAATTTTTTTATTTTCCACATGTTATTTGTATTTTAGCTTTTACCCGACTAGCTGATCTTACTTCTTTTTGTCGCGTTGACTGCATTGTAATATTTGTGGTGTCAACGAAGGCCTTTTACTTTTTAAAACTTTTTTTGGGGGTCTTCTTTACCAATATCTTCTCTGCATCCGATGAAGATTTTAATAAGAGTTAGATTTTGTACTTACTATGATTGTTGGCGACAGTGCTGCCATCTCTGTGAACTATGTTGAAACTCATTGAACTAAACAGCTGTCAGATAGTTTCATAGTGGAAAGTTATTCGGTGCTTTGGGTCGCATGTGGGTTCTGTTAGAATATTTGTATTATATTTGATATTTATATTTCTATTATGGAAGTTGAGTTTATTGTCTGCTGTTACGTATCGTTGTTGTTTATAGAATGACTGAACAGACGGACAATAAGTCGAAGGTATGGGGAGAGAACGAAAGATTGGAACTTGCTGCTCAACTCGATGCTCAACTGGATGAGTACATTAATAGTCTTGAAAAAAAGCAATATACGGAAGGATGGCCGGAGGACAGGTGGCAGGAAGAAATGGAGAAACATCCATTCTTCATGAAGAAAAGTCCAGAACCTGGAGAGGAGTTATCTCCTTTGATGCAAGGGTTACAGCAACTCAAGTACGATGAGAATGAAAATACTCCGGAAGGTGGGATATACTGTCAAGCAATGGTAGACTTATAATTATCTTTAATTTTTTTGTAGAACTTGCTAATAACTATAAGGAAGATGGAAATTATAATTACAAGTACAAAAATTATCGTTTGGCTATCTTTAGTTATACCGAAGGTATCAAGACTAAGTGCAAGGACAACGAGCTTATGGCCCAACTTTACAATAACAGAGCTGCTGCTCATTTCATGTTACAAAATTATAGGTAAGTCATTAATTAAACAATTTAAAAATCACTGCATTTTATTTATTCTCTTTGTACATTTCAGATCGAGTTTGAACGACTGCAAGACTGCCTTGAAATTAAAAAATCCTTATAATAAAGCTTTGTCCAGGGCTGCTCTATGTGCTTTTAAAATAAAGCGTTACATGGAATGCATTGAATTATGTGATCAGTACTTGGAACAATGCCCAGCAGATAAAGAAATTCTAAACTTGAGATCACAGGCTACAACGGAGAAGGTAGAGAGCGCACTTTCGCAGAACTCGTAAACGCGAAGTTTCCATTTACGTAGATTATTTGCATCACGATAGAAACGCCTGGAAAGAGATAGCAGAAGACGTCAGGCCCTAGAGAAGAAACAAGAGCTTGAAGAGGAAAGACTAATACAGACAATCCAAAGCAGAGGCATAAACCTTGAACAATACAAAGGCAAAAAAACTTTGGAACTGAAGGATTTAGAACCTCAGGTGCCTCAACTCGCACAGAGCAGAGTGCATCTCGACAATGACAACAGACTCGTTTGGCCCGTTATAATGTTATATCCGGAAACGCGTCAAGCTGAGTTTATTCAAAAATTCCACGAGGACACGACGTAAGTAATTCATGGAATTCAACCGACCGCAAGAGTCCATTGCGATTCCTGATCTCATCCTACATGTTCCTCCCATTCGCCATTAGCGTCATAACGACCGTCTATGTTTATTTCATTCTTCGTTCTGGGCTTCGCGCGATAGCGCATGCGCAGAAAAGTAAAAAGTAAACGTCCATAAATTTAAATAATTTCCATCCGTAACATTGCAGACTACTGGAACAATTGGAAGTCATTTTCGAAGACCCACCAGAATGGGACGAGGGTCGTCGTTACCAGCCAAATAATGTCAACGTCTATTTCGAGACTGAGGATAAGAGCCAAGTCCATAAAGTGGACACTCGTCAAAGGCTGGGGGAAATTTTGTCAAACCCGAGGTAAAGTGCTCGTTCTTGTCCCAGGACATTAGTCCTGGAATGGTTGAGGGACATAAAGGCTGTACCGTTAATGCCATGAATAATGTCCAGGGTAACCAGACCTAAGTGAGTTCACTCGCGTAACCATCATTATTACAGATACGTCATAAAAGCTGGGACGCCTTCCTTTATGATTCTGATTGCATCGAGCGAAGCGGAGAAGCGATTCCTCGCAAACTACTGATATTTCCCGGGCAACAATTCTGTAGCGCAATTTTATAAATAAACAGGCACGCGGAGAAAATGAAATAAAAGAAATTTATTTGCCGTACAACCAACCCACAGCGAACGTATCCTAATCTTGCTAGAACTCGTTAAGATTTAATCTCGGTCGGGGCGAAACTTTTGGGGAGACCCCAGAAAAAATTTCAGTAGCCCCACATGGCCCAGGCGTCGCGACGTCGTTTCAGTCCTTTTTTTATTCCAGCACACGAAGCGCAACGTTTAGTCTGACATGGCGCACGTGCACGAGTACTTAATTCTCATTTTATTGTCGCGTCATTACGCGAGAGCTCACACGACACGCAAAAAAACTGTGTCGCCGTATACGTGTTTCTGACTGATATCATTTAATCGAGACGAATGGTAAGAGTGAACCGTTGATCGATAAATCAATACGAGTGACACCATCTTAGTGAGCATAATTCTTTTTTTTCCTTCTTAAAGCAACGTCGAAGACGCCTTGCAGGTAGATGATCTTGTTACGTCCAAATGCAATTAAGGGTCAACGTCGCGATGTCTCCTCCCAATCTCCGGCGACCTCATCCTTATTCCATCTAATGAACAGGTGGGAGAAGGGATTCTCCTCCTTTCTGACTGAGGTAGTTTCAGCTTTTAGCCATGGGAACCGATATCGACGCTCGTCGTGGCCATTGAGCACAGAGAATTCACGCTCGACGAAGCACGTGTAAATTCTTGGCTATTGGTCAATCGTGACGATCTGTATTCCACCTGGAGAATCATCTCATCCGACTACTCCTTCACCTCCCGTTGATTCGTCTCCTCGCGATGCAGTTTACATGTATTTACCAGTTTTTTCCAAATATCTATAAAGAATCGACGCTTTGTCGAATTTTCAAGAAGCGTTAATGAAACACAGGTAATAGTCGTCCTGCACGATATCGCGTGACATGGCGAATTAAGGATGAACGCCTATGGTACAGGTGTACCAAGGGTGCAGACACGGTTCGGGGTTGATGTTGGGCATAACGAAGGGTCGTCCTAACTATTTAGGATCGGAATAATTTTTAGACGGTTGTTCAGTCCCTCTGTCAAGTCCTGCGCCGTATGTTGTCGGTCTGCGCTAAAGGGGCGAAGATACAGAGCCTAAAATTTTCTAAGTGGAAAAAAAATACCATTGCTACACGACCCATTCGCATTGTACTTCAGGGAGTTGCCGAGGGAGTGCGTTCCTTACGAGCGGTCAGGGTGAAGTTAGGGTTTGGATGTTCGGACGTTTACGGTTGCGCTCGGGTCCTTGGCCCTTTGTGTTCGTAGAGTCACAAGATGGCGCTCGAGGAAAGTCGTGACGCGATTGGTCGGCGTGGTGGCCGCACCGCGAATCTCCCCGAGAGCAGTCGCTTCCACGATCTCGCAGCGGGTGGGTTGTAGCACGGCCGAAAAAGCAAAACACGCGTTCGCCGCGGACGGTAATGGCCGCCGTAGTAGCAGGCTAGCCGTCGAGGAAGAGGACTCGCGTGCGTGCTACGTCCTCTCGCCCTGAGCCTGAACGCGCGTCCATTCTTATACAATTGAAACGTGTACAGTTTAACGATACCGATCCGGTCAACGATACGCGTGGTGAGAACTCGTCGAAGCTTTTCTAGTACAAACTTCGTGATCCAGGAAGATTTATTATATCCTGTATGATATCTTACTAGAGCCGGTTGAACAGTGCGTGCGTGCACCAGCAGTGTATGTGGTGGCCAGCCATTTTTCAATGTGCTACGCCGGTCCATGACCCTTTGTCTCATCTCTACGCGTTGGATTTACTGACTCGTTGGCCGCACCCGTGGCCACCACCTTCTTGGATTATCATTCGACTTCTCGCTCTGGATTATCATCTTCCTCCTCTTCTGTCTTCTGCTGCTGCTGCTGCTCCAGTTACTACTGCCACTAGGTGAGTTTCATCCCTTAAAGTTAGACTAGTGAATATGCTAAGAGCAGCGTGCACAGTGGTTGTTCCCTGACTCTGTATCACTCTGCCTGATAGACCGATACCTGGTGCTTAATTATGCGGATGAGTTTATTCATCTGTCTCAGCAAGGCATCATCAGTAGTCAATAGTCAATAGTATCCATCCGCTCCTGGAGTCATACCTCATCAGAAAGATATTCATGAATCAAGCCTGCACAGTGAATTCCAATACTACAAAGCCCCTCATTGAGAATGTGTAGCAAGCATATTCATCAGGGTGCTCCAGATAGGTTCCTCCTGGTAGGTTATACCTGATGAGAAATCCGTGAAGGCTCGAACGAGCGTGTATATGCCGTTGCCTCGGGCAACGACATCAGAATCCTCGACTGCGGTCCAGAAACGCATTTTTTTTACAGACTGTAACGTACACCTTGACGAGGGCCGATCAATTTAGAGAAGATCTAGCCACGGGCACGATGCCAAAGATGGCTGCGTTTTCCATCCTCGTAATCGTTCCGCGATGATCTCGCGGTATCCCCATCTTCCTCGACCCCAGAGGAGAGCCCTGCCTCTGTATCTCCCACCCCGCCTGCCACCGACCCACCCCATACGGCGATCATTAGATATATTCGACGAGTATCTCCATGGACACGCACCCTTGTATTTCGACGCAACCCTCCAGCTACTGTGCGCTCTCGCATTGTTTGCCCACCCTTAGGTTTCCTATCGGACGTGTATCCTTTTTAAGTCGATATTTTATACGGCAGTCATGGCTGCAGCCCGTTGTGCGCTTACTCCTTGATCGTAGCGTGGAGTTTAGTATTGCTCTACTCGCCGGGATATGAATCTAGTCTATTATAGGATATTGCAATGGACGGTGGTCACTTTGGCAATGTTTTGAAACAATGGGAATTTCATGCGCAAACTTATCCGGCACTGTGTTAGTTCCGTATGACGTATTCGAATAACCTGGTTGTATATATTGTGCATTGATGTTTCCACAGGAGTATGAGAATCACGATAGAGTAGGGCTGTTCGTAGGAGATGGTTGCGGGCAGAAAGTTGACCATCGGGGCGTGAAATTACGACGGAAACTCGTGGTCCGGTCAGTTTTCACAAAATGTCGGTAATTCGATGTGGGTACGCTTAGGCCTCTCTCTCATTCTCTCGCATATATATATTTTCTCTTTCTTCGTCTCTCTCTCTCTCTCTCTCATCGAAGAAGGAGAATAGTCCCGCTTCTGTCGACAAAGCAGGCTTTATTTCAGCTGGTCGGAAATTCGGTGGGCATGTGGCAACGCTGCATCTCACGTCTTCCTCTTTCTCTTACTCACTTCCATTCTCCAACAGATACGCCGTCCTCGTCGGTGCATCTCCTCGCATCCTACTTCCACACCATCGACGCCGTCTCCACCTTTACCCTTACCTTCAGCATCGGCCATACCTTCAGTACCTTCGTCGGCTCTCCTCTACAGTTTCCTCTGTCTACCTACCTACCTACCTATATCTTTCTTCTTTCTTCCCTCTTGGCCCGTCTACCTTATTGCTTCCACGAGTCCTTTTCTACAGTCTACTCTTTTCTACCAGCGCCTTCACGCAGCAGAGCCCAAGCCAGGCCGCCTTCCATATCCAATAGCCCTGGGTATCCACCACCTTGCACCTCATCTACCATTCTTTTATTTTCTTATTCGTTCAGTGCTCACGGAGTTAGACCAGGGGCTTCTCTTGGGCCGCTATTGGATGCGAGTCGAAGAATGAGACTGGGACTTGGCAGGAGTGGGAGAGAGAGTGAGACAGACGAATGCGTACCTGGCTACGCGCGAGAGAACAGGGACGCAGATCACGTGAAAAAAGGAGAAGGAATTTGAATAGAGATAAGAAAAAAAAGAAAGAAACGGTCTTCGGGGTAGATTTTCCGAGTTCCCTTTACTTCTCTTGACATTTTGGCTCTACTGTCCCGTCGGAACTTTTCGTCCGTAACGTCGCCGACGCGCTCTCGCCAGCCGTCGATGTGCCAACGTAAGTTTATCGGCTAGAATCGACGAGGATTTTACTGCGTCCGTGAATAGGGAAAGGAAGCCTCTGAGCTTAATAATTGAGCTGCTTCGAGTTCGCGCTCACTTCTCACGTGCTCAGTCACTCGGTTAAACTCGCACTGTACCGACTGACGGGGTTGGTATTTTTATATACCTCGAAGCCATTATCTTTTATTCCCTTTATCGCGATACCTTTTTTTTTGTTTATCGATCGCAGATAATCGATACTTCTACAAGACGATCCCCGGTACAGTCTTTACGTTTATCGTAACGCATTTCGCTCGAACCTCCCGACGCACCTCACTGTACGCGCGATCGTTTCGCCGATACTTTTGATGGAGATTGTAAACCAATTTTCCATTATTATTAGCCGAACGGCGAAGGGGCGGCGGAGCAAGAAGGGTGCGACGATGACGAAGGAAGTACGGAGCAGGAAGTGCACTCTATAGTGGGCCTCTGTGTATAGCGGGGTATGAATGACTCGAGGCGCTTCTAAATTTTCATGTAAAAGCACATCAGACCCTCGATCGTCGTCGTGGAAACAGGACGAACCGACAGAACCAACCCTTGGATACCGATTACCCGCCAGAGGTACGGTTCTCATCCGTTAGATTGTTATCGGCCGGGCACCTGAACACGAAATGCTTTTACGCGAAGATATAGAACGGCCCGGGTTACCGGGACGGACCGAGGGGGCGCGCGGCATGAAAAAGAGAAATAAGGGCGCGTGAAATCACACGGACCAGCGGAGTGTCTAGAGGTACGATTTTTCGTAGGCGATTGAGCGAGAAGTGAGCGCCAGGTCGAACTGAAGGATCAGGAAAGTAAAATGGGCGTGCTTTATGGGCTGCTAACGGATGCCCCCATATGGGGATTTGTTGGTTTGGGGTGGCGCGGTGCCTGATGGCGACGGCGATGGCTGTGGGCTAGTGGCAGTTCGTTGGTTACTTCTTTTCGGCTGGGTTCGAGTTTAACTTCGTGAGCGTAAGGGAAAAAGAGAAACGAAGGAGGGCTGAAGTCGTTGCCGAAAGGTTCTCTTCTACTTCGTTTCTGTCGTTACGTTACGACCGTGGTTATACGTATATATCAAACCAGTCCTGGCACAGGACGAACCAAATCCCAGATGAAACGGAGGTCGCTAAAGCTGAATTTTACTCGTACGCTCATCCTCCTTTCCAACCCCTTACGAGGATAGGGTGCCCGACGTTTTATGGCTGTCCTACGGATACCCGTAAACGTAGCAAACTCGATATTCCGTGATGGCCTATTGCCCTGCCACGATTACAGTTGTCACTTTCGTGGTTCTAATATCGTGGCACATCCTCGGTGTTTGTTCGGCTTATTTAGTTTACCTTGGCCCCCCCCCCCCTTATTTTTCCTCCCCTCTCTTTCCTGCTCATCCAAAAGTTCGACGACGGCAAACATTTTTCTGTTGTTTCTTCAGGCAACCCCCCCCCTCCTCCTTCCCTCCTCAATTCCGGTACTTAACCCACGCCCCTCTTTGTTTCCTCGTCCCGCCGGTTTTTGGCACGTGTCACGAGTCAGGAAACTTGGTGCCCGGCGTTAGCGGAGGGCGGGAGGAGGGTGGTTACTGGTAATGGTAGTGGCAAAGACCGGAGGGTGCCCGCGACGACGGAAGTCTCCGTTAGGTAAAGTCGAGTCGATCTGAGGTTGCTTGGTTGGAGTCCTATTAGGGGTGAACGGACAAATGAGGGAAGAGAACGTAAGGAGACTCTGCCCCTCTGTCCCGGCTCTGATGACTTTACGGTGAAGGTAGAGCGGGGTGAGGGGGCGGGTGGATTTGCAGGGGGGGGGGCAGGACCGAATTACGCTAGTAAATGACCTGCCGGTAGATTAGCGCTATACGCTCCCTGAAAGTGGATGTGGCGTACGAGGAGTACCGTGCCCCCCCC